CATTTTAAGACATAAATTTATAAGAACTTTTTACTCATTTTTATCTTGCATTCTTATTAAAGGTATTGTATTATCTCTAAATCTTAATTATAAATCGAGTCATAAATTAATTGTTTTCCTAAAACGAGTATTTGGCGCGTCGCTCTTGACAAACTCGAGATTAATTTTCGTATTTATCGTCTAGGAAAGAGAGAGGTACTCGGAAGAGAGCATATAATTAAATTAAAAACATCGAAAAGTTTCTTATAAAATTAAAAATCCTTCAACAACTTTATGAGGGAAAGAAAGCCCTCGGGAACTCTAATTAAATTAGCCCCTTTCGCATAGACGCGAATGAAACGTTTGGAATCCTTTCCGAGCGCGCCAATTTTAGATGGATTTCTACTTGCTTGAAAGCGGTGTCCCTCGGTGAAGGTTTTTTAACAATTCTATTGCTCTTTTTCCCGTAAAAAGTTTCTGAATTTTTTATTTTATGGATTAATGCAGAAATATGTTTATTAAAAGATTTTCTGGTGTAGTTGCCGTGGACCAGTGGAAAGAGTTTGAACCCTAGCCGGTACAGTCGTTTTATTTAAATAAAAATATTTATTTTTCTAAATAGAGTAACCAGTAAACCATCAACTAAAAAAGGCAATGATTGAACAGCTAGCATACAGGGTGTTACAAAAAACATGTACCATCTCTCGTGGGGAGATTCCTCACGCAAAGATAATATTTATTTTTCATATCAACATAGATCGGATTCTACTTTGTTTCGTAGCTACAGGGTGTTAAAGTCTTAATATTTTTTCGATTTATTATAATTTTCTTCCAAGTACTTTTAGCGTTTCGAATGAAATTTTGAGGGAAAAAGTTACTATAAATGCGACATATTTTAAAGCTAAAACATGTCAACATCTCGGAATATTTTTCTAAAAACGGGAATATTTTTCTAAAAAAAGCATGTACGCCACTGACTTTTTTTTTCTTGTTAGTGAAATAGTGTAAGCAGTTTAATGCCGATTAAAAGTTGTCTCTTGATATTTTGTCGATATCGGCCTCCTTGACGAAATAAACGCTTTTATAGCTTATATCGCCGAAAAGCTTAAAAAATTACGGCTTTTTTGAAGTCATGGCCATCTATGGTTTCCATTAAGAAAAACACATGTTAGTGTCATAATGTCAAAAATGACAGGCTTTAGAAAAAAAGAAGAACACTGTCTTATTAAGGATTTGATTATCTACAACTTTTATCTGAAAACTTTTTGTCTAAACTAGATTATATAGAACTAGAGAGCATTTTAAAAATAGCCGAAATTTGTTTTTTTTAAATATCTAGCAAGACATAAACTTTTTAAAAAATCTGAAAGACGTATATGTTTGTCTTCACAAAACTGCAGTTCTTTCCAAATTTGACTAACTCTCTAGCACCTCTAGTTTCCGAGATACCCATAGAGAATATCGTAGAAAACTCACCCTGTACAGGTTGAGATTTCTACGATGTAGAAGGAAACCCAGAAAATATCCAGTTGTTCTCAAAATTTAAGAAAAAGTATTTTTTTTTGTTTATCGGAAAAACGGTAAAGAAAAAATATGTTTTTTTTTATCGAGATCTCTACCAGCCCTGAAAATACTTGCAGTTATTTAAGACTCACCCTGTATATAATATTGTAAAATGCCCTAAAATATTTTTGTTCCCCTAAAACGAACAAAAATAAACGGACAAAGTCGAGAATTTATACTTGCAAAGAAGATGAGTTTTTCTTATTATTTTCGAAAAAAATTAGAATTTTGAAAACAATTACACCAAAAAAAAAAGATAAATGAAAACAAATAGGTATTCAAAACACGTTGTCCTTCTATCTGGTTATGTGTAGGCATGATCGGGACAAAGGTACTACTCAGTACTCAGTCTCAATACTTGGTTTTAATTATACAATACTAATAATTATACTACATATTGCAATTTGCAAATTAATACGTCAAATCACTAGGTAAATCTATAAATTGAGTTCTAATAGTATACTGGTGAATCCCTGAACTAATAATTTTGGCGATAAAGAACAGGTCGTAATTTCCACACGTAGTCTGCTGTCAAATTTCTATATAATTTGCTGCATTACAAATGTAATACACTCTGTAGTATTAATAATACCTCTACAGCATCGTTCTCCAACTGATGATATTCCTGAACCTTTTGATCGATAAAGCATCCAGGTTAGAGAAATAATCAATAATCACACAACTGATAACTACAGGAAATTAGTGATTGATTGTTATTTAACTATCTGTTATTTTATAACAATTATTTAGAAATAACATAACGCAACCGTTACTACTTCTAAAAAATAACAGATATAAAATAACGACACCTAGAGATCGACCGCTCTTGAAACGAAGTCGGCGCTCTGCACCGCCACGAAATTCTATGCGGCTCGAAGCAATTCCAAAAAACAACTAGTATGGATGGAAAACATGTTATTTCGACAACCATCAACACAGGCGGCGAGATACAACGGACAACGGAGTGGGGAATGCGCTACGGCAAACGTAGCTGCATCGGTCGATGGTCGTGTTGGGCTTACAACAGCTTAAAAATAATAGGATATAAAAGAAGCAACTTTTTTTAAACAGTTGCGGGCATAACGCCTGGCGGTCGAGATAACAGGAGTGGGAAAATAACGCTGCTGCATCGGTCGATTGTCAATAGAGGTTCGCAACAGGTTGGAGAATAACGCATCAGTTGTTTTAGATACATTGTTTTTCAACCTGTTACAAGCATAACGGGCGGAGGTCGAGATATTATGGCGCTGTATGTTTCAGTACTTAGTTATTAAGTTTCAGTTAGTTAGTTATTTTTATTAATATCTTTAAATACATATATACTTTCATTGTTTTTGCTATATTTTAACACTCTTCAAAGACAATTTTACTAAGATTTACTTTAAGAAATTGTGAATGGTGCTTAGAAATTTAGTGATTAATTTATTTATTATAATAATGAGAAGTACCTAAAAAAATATGAGGATCCTCAGAAATATGAGGATTTTTCTGCTAATTTTTTTTTGAAAAAAAATCTGGAAATTTTCTTAGTTTTTAGTTAAAGATCATAATTTCTTGATAATATGGTAACTAATGAATCTGGTTAATTAATGAATGAATAAATATAATAATGAATTAATTCTCGGTTCTTTCGGTACCTTCGGGACTCGGTAACAATAACTAAAAAGATATTTTTTTATTTCGTGAGAAAGTAGTGACGCTATTTCTCATTGTTCGTGCTTCTTTTCTCTTTTGAAATTTCTGTAATGTTTATTAGCAATTATTATTGAAGTTTATGTATTAGTATTAGTTATCCAATGAAAATCATTGAGGCAATATATTGCTACTGAAACAAACACATTAATGTTAAAACTAAACTTGTTTTAAATTAAAAAAAATTGTAGAAAATCTTTGAAATAGATAATAATATAAAAATATATCATTATACAGGGTGATCCGAATTGTATTCCGGAAACTTCGGCAGCATATTCGGCAGATAAAAATAAGTAAAAAAGTTCGTATAAATGTAGGTCCTAAAATGCTTAGTTTCAGAGATACAAGGTGTAGAAGTTTCATTTTTATTTCGATTTTTTCCAAATAATTTCTGATGTAACGTCAATTTTTGGAGAAAAATTGGTGTCTGGGAGTTTTTTGACATGAGAAATTTGATTTTGATGTCAATATGACTCCTACTAGTAGAGGGCGCCACCTACATGTGTTTTAACTGTTTTAAAGCGTAATAACTTTTTGTCCGTACCACTATAAAACTACCGAGCGAAATAATATATATCTACGAGCAACCATTCTTAAGATATTTAGAATGGAAATAGTAAATACATGTCATTATTGACGAAAAATAAACACCTTGAGTAGATAATTATTTCACGGAAATAATAAATTTGGGAAATTTTTATTTTTTTTAAATTAATCATAAATTTTTCTGCAAAAAATGATGAGAAAACAGTTTCTGTTGAACTTTTGACACAAAAACATTTCAAATTTATGATTTCAATCTAATAACTATTTAGCCAACATGTTTAATTAATGTGAATGATGACATGTATTGATAATTTTGATTCCAAATATCTCGAAAACCATTACTCGTAGCGATTTTTACCAAGAGACCTTTTTTACGTAAAAAACGTCGTAAATGTATATTTTTACTCAGTAGTTTTATATAGGTACGGACGAAAAATTATTACTTTTCAAACCGGTTAAAAAATACGTAGGTGGCGCCCTCTACTAGTAGGAGCCATATTGACATCAAAATCAAGTTTCGCATCTCAAAAAACTCCCAGACATCAATTTTCATTCAAATATTGACTTTACTTCAGAAATTATTTGGAAAAAATCGAATTAAAAATGGAACTTCTACACCCTGTATCTCCGAAACTAAGCATTTTAAGACATACGTTTATACGAACTTTTTTACTTATTTTTATCTGCAGAATATGCTGCCGAAGTTTCCGGAATACAGTTCGTACCACCCTGTATATTTTTTCTGCATTTCTTCCCATCAGAAGATTTTCAGATACAGAAGAATTGTTACTTACACAAAATGTGAAAATATTCTGTTTTCAAGCAAATTTTTACTCGATGATATTTTTTTTTATTTTATTTTATTATGAACTCATTTTCTTACATACATCTCTGTGAAACTATGGCGAGTGTCACGACTATACTTTGTCTAGTTATAGACCACGACATCAGTGGTCACGGGACGCGAGAACAAGGTCATATAAAGTGGCAAAAAAAAGAAAGGATTTGACAAGGACTAAAGCTACTAGTTTCCTTATACTATGTTAACACTACAAACACCGTGAGTTTATTTGACTAATACTCAACCTGTCAAATAGGCACTATTTACGGATTAATCGATAAAATGTAGTGTCCATTGAGTGTAGGAGATGAATTCTAAATATTTTTTTTTTAAACATGTCATATTACAAACACTTACACTGTCATTTATTTTCTTTCAGCAACAACAGTGCACCACCATTCCCATCAAGACCATCTCCACTGGAGCACCGAGCCCGCAGAGCAAGGTGACCACCACCACACCCTCCGCCCCTTCGCCTACCACGCCAGATAAGCCCATCCTCAAGCCCGTGGAGTGCAACCTGTGCAAAAGGCGATTCAAGAACATTCCTGCCTTGAACGGGCACATGCGCCTGCACGGGGGCTACTTTAAAAAGGTACGTAGTAAGGTATGTAACTTTCTTCTTATATTTGTTGTGTTGTATCGGTGTTGTTATTAGATAGGAATTTCTTTAGATTAAATATCAGGTTTGTTCCAACATAGTAATTTGTACCGTTCTAGAACGGTAACTGGGATCGCCGACATCGGATGTGTACGTTTTTGCTTTATTTTAAAACACCTTTGCTTTAGCTAACAAAAGTTTCAAATCATCTTCAGTGGTATCAACATACTCAGCATCACTGTCCTCTTCGTCAGTCATCATATTTAGTACAAAAATATAAAAATATTTATTTAAAATATGTATAAAAACGATAAATGCCAAATAAACTTGACGAATCAGCAAATAAAAACCAGAAACTAGTCAAAGAAATAAAATAAAAACAATAGTCAGCTGACGCACAGTCTTAATACACAGGTCAAGGTACCCATTCTTGACCACTCGCATTGACAAATATCACTTGCATATCCAAAAAATCTATATAACAATACACTTGATACATATACGCAAAGTTGCGAACGATGTTAAAAATAGATACTCAGAACTTCTGGTTCTCGCTTGTAGGCTGGTATTGGAATCATCGTCCCAAATTCTTTAAACGATTCTCATATTGATGGAACGCATTTTCTCTATTGCGCATAAGCGTAACCGTACCAAGAACGGCTCTCTGCTATGTTGGAACAAACCTATAGAAAAGATACAGTATACCTCGATTAAATCTACCGCAACATATACATAAGTAACACACTACCCTATTGCCAATAGAGCTTGCATAAATCTAACATCTTCTGGAACAGCTCTAACAGCTCTCTGTAGAATAACCGTTTTTTGTCGACCATTGCTCTGTTTTTTATAGGCGGACGCAAGATTATTAAAAGATAAGGTTGTCTCGTAACTCGGTCCGCCATTATCGGAAACGTCATCTACTACATCACAGGGATGCTATTGCTCATAGATAAAGGTATAAAACTGCCGACAGTCCAACAGTGCTTTTCCGAATCGATATTCATTGTGTACTTTATTGTTCATAGTGTATGGCGTCCATAGTTTTCAGTCGTTTGATGTGTGTTTTCTTTATTTTATTGCCCATTTATCTCTCTTTGTCGGTTGCATTTTATTTTTTATTCCTTTATCTATGATTTTATACGTTCTGTAGCATCCCTGTGACGTAGTTGCAGCTTCGCTCCTATTGGTCCGAAAGTTACGAGGCAACCTGTTTAATATAGTAACCTTAAAGCGGACTAGCAATTCTACTGAGATAGTGTGCTGTATCTTTTAGAATATTTATTATAATATCTGATGTTTAAACCTAAAATAAAGGATTTTCCAATAGAGATGGATTGATGTTAGATTAGAAGTCTACTAAACCTGTTATTTATTATTCATTGCCAGATGCCAAATCCTAATGGCAAGTTACACGATTGAGGAAGATGTCGAAAAGAGAAAATTGTAATGTTACGAAAAGAAAATCTGTTATCGGTGGTATTGGAAAATATTTTTACTAAAATTTACATAAGGGTGGGGGTAGTTTTCACCCTTCCCGTCCTTTTTCTTGATATTGATAAAGCACTTACCAAAATATAGACACCCAAAATCTCATTCAAATCGAAATAACAGTTTTAAAGGTTGATGTGAAAGAGGAAACGGACAAACGAAGCACTTTTGTATAGAGGTAAATTGTGTCCAATAAACTCATTTTGATTCCAAAAATACGTAGTAGTTGTATGTTCACGGAATATTGGGACACCCTGTATAATTCAAAATAAAACACTAACACCCTGTATAATGGTATACAGGGTGGTCCGAACTGTATTCCGGAAACTTCGGGAGCATATTCTGCAGAAAAAATAAGTAAAAAAGTTCCCATAAATGTATGTCCTAAAATGCTTACTTTTGGAGATACAGGGTGTAGAAGTTTAATTTTTATTTCGATTTTTTTTAAATCGTATGCGCTAATTACAATGTTTTCAAAATGCATTTGTGAACCTAACCTAACCAAACCAAACCAAACTATCTACTCAACATGTTTATTTTTTGTCAATAATGGCATGTATTGATTATTTCTATTCTAAATATCTGGAAAACTAACTCGTACGGTAAACGGTAACTCGTAGCGATTTTTACCAAGAGACATTTTTTACGTAAAAAACCAAAAGAAATGTATATTTTTTCACCGAGTAGTTAGGTGCGTACCGTATACAGGTACGGAGTAAATACACCCGTACAAACAGGAGTCGCCCCATACAAACAGGAGTCATATTGACATGTGACATATGTGACAAAAATCTCCAAACACCAATTTTCATCCAAATATTGACGTTATTTCAGAAATTATTTGGAAAAAATGGAAATAAAAATGAAACTTCTACACCCTGTATCTCCGAAACTAAACATTTTAGAACAAACATTTATACGAACTTTTTTACTTTATTTCATTTGCAGAATATGCTGCCGAAGTGTCCGGAATACAGTTCGGACCACCCTGTATATAGGTCTTTCAAATTAATTAAAGAATTTCATTAATATCGCACACACACCTTATTTTATTTCCTTTTAAAATCGATCCACTCATATTGGAAAACCCTTTATATTATTTATACTAAAGGAATTTCAGACTTCCATAATACAGACCTGAATGATAGAGTAATTATATTAATATAGGTCTGGCAACATTGTTCCTCATATTCGTAATGTTTTCATCGCAAATGCACGAGACCGTACATATAAAATAACGTGCTGCATTTTATTTTAGTAGAATTCACGTCGCATACAAAATACAGCAAATTACAATTTTAAAATCGTTACAATATTTCCCTCGCGTGTAAGTACGCGTGGTATATAACATTTCTATTTAGCACAATTCTGGTAGAAAAATAATGTTACATTAAAAATAATAGCAGGCGTAGAGACTAAAAGAAAAACGTAGAAAATGTAAAAAAATAACAATGATGATAATGGCAAACGGATTTTTCGAAAGTCAAATTCCAACGAGACGAAACTACCCCTCAAATATTACCTATAAGTTATATAATAATATCGCCATATTGTTTTTTTCTCATGCTGACATAAATGTGAGAAAATTTTATCCAGTTTGTATGTTAATGGAAATTCTCGCTTTGCTTTATCATCACCATTACAAATGATTAATTCGATGCTAACGAAGTCGCTGGTACACGCTAGTTTTATATAAAATAATTAGGATTTTCACACTTTCGAAAAAGTTAAGATGATAGTAATATCCACATCCCTCAAGTAGCAATAGGATACTACAATAAGTAGGACACCTGGCACGAAAGACAGACAACAGGTAGACCACAAAAATTACAGCATGGTACCCACGACCCAAGTAGCATTTGGACGTTATCTAACGTCGGGTATACGTCGCGCTCAATAAATCCGACGTCGGGTACCAACGTCGGTTCGACCGCCTGACGACCCTTATTTGCACCTAAATGGGGAATACAGATTCGGGTCGCCTCGACGTCGGTATCTGACCTACTAGGGAATGTAATCCTACCAATTACCAACGTCATATTGCGTTGGATTTTAGTCACTTAAAATTCGTCGCTAAGCACTTACGTTAGGTTTGGTTTCATATTCGCTACCAAGAATACATAAAAACCTAACCAAACTATCTAATTACAAATGGATTCATAATCACTCCTCGAATATAACTATAAGTGCCTATCTAATTTCATATTATAATAATTCTCAATCATTAATCCAGACATCAGTTTTGTCAACGGAAGTCACTTTTTTTATATATCTGATTAAAATACTCCGGAAAACAACGAGCGCCTTCAAAATTAGGTAGATTTATGAAATAAAAATATCTATAAAAAAGTAACTCGCAAAGTATTTTTTTTAATTTTCTAGCTGGTTTAATCATAAAACTGTACTGTGGTTCCCCCCAAACTCAACCTTATCAATATTATTCTACTAGAAATCGAAATGTGAATATATGAGGAATGATAACAAATTTTTAAAAACGAGCTTTTTAGTTGTGAACAATAATAATAATAATAAATATAAAAATCTAAGGGTGCGGACACAAAGGAAACAGGTTGCCTGCTTGCTTATAACGCCAATAATTAAATACGCTTTTAAACACATCCGCACAGATACAAAATTGGTCGATGCTTGTTGCAAACGCGGATAGGTACCGACTATTTACCGAAATAATGAATTTCTAATTTTTGGTCGCTTGTTGTCAGTGCCGAATGTACATTCCTTCGCATCGATAATGGTTATCTTATTATTAATCTCAGTGATTTTCGAAAGGAGCGCAGTTTTTGCTAATCACATTTTAATTTTTCCCAAGGTATAGTTGAATATCTGAAAGGTCATTCTCATATACTAAAAAAAAACGTTCGTGTAGTTGCGATTGAAATAAATCGTGATATTCACCATAAACTTTTCGTCCTCAATTCAATGGATGCCTTCCCTCATGCGTTGTATTACCAAATCTATTTTCCATTAATAAAAATTCTCCATCTTAAGATGCATCAAATATTTTTGTAGTGTAGAAGTTGCTTTTAAACTGGCCGAAAACAGGCGCCCATTGTGTCCTATTGAGATGACTTGTAGGAGCTGATTTTCGGCGCCGGAAATAGGCTCTGATTAAACCGAGGGGTGTCTCACTTGGGTAAAAAATGTACATATACTGCCAAAATATCATTTTAGTGGCAAGCTACTGCCAATGACTGCGAAGAAGACTGCCTATGACTGCTATGTAATTATTACAGGCGACTGTCGTAAGACTGCCAGCGACTGCCAAGAAAATGTACATGTAATTACACTGATGAGACACCCCTCGGATTAATCTCCTTTCTTTTTGTGAGTGTAGTCTAAGGGTACGGACACAAAGAAAGCTGGTTATAAGCACTTATGACCAGCGCTGAAAACCAGCATCTATAAATCGTCTCAATAGTAGACAATGAACATAAAAGGCTTTGTAAAAAGTAAGCGCCAATAATTTAATGCGCTTTTAAACACACCCTTACAGAGAAAAATCTTGTTGGCGCTCGTTGCCAATGCCGACTTTTTACCAGAACGAATTTTTAATTCTTGGTCGCTTGTTGTCTGCGCCGGCTGTGCACATTGTGTTTCTCAGCGCTAGTTTTAAACTTTGGCTCTGGCGCTGCGCTGGTTTTCTATGGAAATAAGCGTTGATTATCCAGCTGTCTTTGTGTGCGTACCGTAAGATATTTTTGCCCAACATTGCTCTCTGATTCCAACCAGATACTCCGAAACCGATACCTTTAGCCGTTCCCCATGTTATTATATCTATTCTGTAAAAACGAAATTTATTCCTTAGGAGAAGTTGGGGAGATACGGAAGTTGAAATTATAAAATACTATTGTACTGCCGATGCCACGCCTTGTTAACGAAAAACCGCTTATCTGACGCATTGAAAATTTTAAGTTCTTGGTTAGGTTAGGTTAAAAAATAGGACACTTCTGTACAACATAGCCGTCGGATTTGCACTTGAGATGAAACTGTATTTTTATAATTCTGAAAATAAAGCAAGAGAAGGTCTTTTTGCTTTTCAGTTAGTTGGAAAATAAAATAATTGGAATCATTTTAATTATACACTTGAATCTTAATTGTAGTTAATGTGTTTTCATTATCGGCAGTGTAATACACAGATAAATCTAAGATTATTTATAACCATAAAATATATCTAAATTAGAATTTTAGGATAGAAAAAGTGTCAACATTAAAGCAACCGTGGCATAATACATACAATTCTTAAATAAGGAAACGCTCAAATAATACGTAATCATTGCCAACATTTAAAATAAACTTTATTTCATAATGTATTTCATATATTTTTTATCAAATAAGAATTAAATAACATGTTATAAAAATTATCTCTACAAAACAAGTCTCCCAAAAAAAACTCATCCTTCAACTTCACAAATGGCAAACATTATTACGAATTAATTGCCGTCATTAAAATTGTACCTAATCCGCAAAAACTTCCTTAATCATCCCCATAAATTATCTCCACCGTTTTACTACCCCGTAATCCCTATCTAGAACGTTCAATTTTTCCAACGTAAATAAAACAAGAAGAAAAACCGAAAATGGATGTCTATTTTAAGGCCGTGTTTTGCGTACACCCCTAAATGGTTATTAAAAGTTTAACACCCCGGGGTAACGTGTGGGATAATACAAACTACCTACGACGACACATGAGCAAAACCTTCATAACTCGTTAAAATTTTATGCGACAAAAAAGCTCTATTCTTTTGATGGCTAATAATTTGTGTTAAGTTCTACTAAAGTAGGCGCAAATGTGTCAAAGCCTCAAATTTGAATACATTATAGTTTAGTGTTTACTTCAAACAAATAGATGCTTTTTAAATGGGCACCTTTAAAATCCTTTTTTGCGGCACAGGTTAATGAATGATTTACATATGAAATATTACTAAAAGGCTTCAGAAGATTTTTTTTTCAGGATCCTGATAGTAAAAAGGTCGATAAAAAAGAACAAACTGGTCCACCTTTACAAACAGCCAGCAGTAGCGTCAGAGCCCTAATTGAGGAAAAAATAATCAGCAAAAGAAATTCCTCCCCCAGTACCACACACCATCATGAACCTGTTACTCATACCTCATCGGCAACTCAAGTAGATATGGACGCTAAAATATCTTCCTTTGTCGTACCGGCACCACCTCAACCAAACCAAGACAAAAACAGAAGACATTCCGATGCTGAAGCTTTCAAAAACTCCAAATCGTACCAAGAAGCTCAAGCTGTAGCAGATTTAATATTGAAAAGAGAGAAAATATCTGTTAAAAGAACCACTTCTGATCCCGGTCAATCTTCATCGCATTTGCTTCAATATAGAGCAGATTCGTTTTCGTTAGATAGCGTCGACATGTATCAAAACGAAGAACCTCATTTTGTCACTCCAAGCTTGGAAGATGAAGTATTTTCAAATAACAGCATGATGCTACAGGGTGTAGATCCAAATCAGCTATCTCAGATCCCCTTCCAGTCAGAATCATTAGATGATAACTTACTTCAAATTAAAGAAGATAATCTGCTACATATAAAAGATGAAAATTTACTGGATATGAAAAACGAAGGCGAGGAACAATTGCAAGAACTAAGTTTGGATGATATAGCCAGCTTGCATGAAGAACCAATGACTATAACTCAACATACAATCAATCCAGTTAATCAGGAGTTGCAAGCTGTACTGAATTCACCCCTACCGGAGAGCTTAGCAGAGTTTAGTACATACCATACATCAAAGAACCTAGAAATTCAATCACCGAGCTACCATACTCAGTCTCCAGTCAGTTATGCCAAATCTCCTCATACGTATACGGTGCAGTCTCCTTTGCAGAGTCCCATGGTAAGGCACGATTCTCCTGGGTTTGCTTATCCTACACCGCCAGCTAGTCACGAAGGACAAAGTCCTTGTTTTGGGCAAAATTTGAGTGTTCCACTGGTATCTCCCAGCGATGATTTTGGACAAGTGGTGGAAAGAGGTATATGAAGTTTTTAAATATTTGAACTTGATTTTTTTTAATTTATTTAATATGCAATTTCCTCTATACCGGGTGCATCTCAAAGTGGCTCACTCCTATATCTTTTTTATTTTTTTCAGATACAAAAACCAGATTTCGTATGTTAGTATGAAAACACATTTTGGTCACTTTGATGATTATGTATGTTTTGGTCACTTATGTGTAGTATGAAAACACATTTTGGTCACTTCCTGTTTCACCGGAAATGACTACAACTTGCTACAACTTTTGATTTTTAAATGGCACCCTCGGTATATTTTTACTTTATTCGATAGAAAATGTACGAAAGGGTAGAGCTGCCATCGCAACATTGAAAAATAATTTTAGCAAAATTTACACTTTTTCTGTAAATTGCATGCGAAATTTGCGGTATTTGCAGCAGGACGACGCATGACGTCTCGGCATTGACCTGTTCGTTACTCGGTAGTTACAAGTGAGCCTTGTTCTCTGCTGGTTAAGTTGCCATTGTGCCGAGACGAAGTACAGATATTTATCAGAGATTATGGACGAATACATTAAAAACTACTTTCAAATCGGATTAAGTCACAAAGAAATTTTGACATTAGAGGATGGTTATGTACTAAGTTTACGTCATTTGCGAAGGCATTTGGGACGAATTAATTTATTTCGAAGTTGATTTGGTTTGGTTTGGATTCTTTAAGTACTCTAAAATAATAGCTGTATAAGTATGCATAAAAATATTTTTATTTGACATTATAAATCTACATAAATGTTAGAATGTAATACAGATAACCAAATTGTAACTGTATAACAAAACAGAGTATTCTTAATATAATAACGTAAATAAAATCAATTATTATCCTAAGAATAAAATATGAATAAAAATAAACCTTGAAAAATGGGTAGCGCTTAAACATTAGGCGAATCCAAATGTTTTAGCATTACCTATAGCAAATTCCATATCTGTTTTAAAATATTCATAACTCTTGGCTGGCAGTTTTAATAGCAGGGAACATTTGCCATAGGAAATTGTGATTGATCTTCATGCAAAAACATGATTTGTGGCATTAAGGGAAATCCCAGAGGTGGCGGACAATCAGATCCTGTTGCAAATACTAATACATCGGAAAGGGTGACAATACTTTCCGGGTCGCCTAAAAGCATATTATGTGTATGTCTGTTATATCACATACATTCCGAATCCAATACATAACCTCTAAAATAAGAGATCACCGGAATTTTTTTTAGTCCCAGGTTCAGTATAGACGATGAGGAATAATTCTTCAAGTATTTTTAAAGGGAGTGTGATTTCAGAACAAAATATACGTTTGAATATTTATACTGGGATATTGCTTAATCTTGTCATATAGATCGTATGTCTCCAATACTTCAATTAATTGCCGCAGTGGTTCCCTAATTCTGTCTTTACTAATGAAGACTTTTGTGAATAAACTGGAAACTGGAGAGTTCGATGGGAATAACGCACCACTGTTTCCACTAACGCAGAAATTGACAGAAAAAGTGTAAATTTACAGAAAATCTGTAAATTTACAGAAATTTAGTAAATTTACAGAAAAAGTGTAAATTTTGCTAAAAATATTTTTCAATGTTGCGATGGAAGGCTCTACGCTTTCGTAAAAATGACACTCTAAATAGAATGACATATCATATGTAAACTTTTGACCTTTTGGCTTAAAAAATCGTATTTTAAACTTCAATCTAACATGCCATTATTGTGTTAAAACACTAAGTTTTAATCAAGGAACCTTGGAAAAATAGATTTGATTGTCTAATGTTTTTCGTGTCTTATCCTGGCCGGTTAAAAGATGCCCAAATTGTATTTTTATTCATATCTCAATTTTTTCAAATGAAACATGGGTGCCTCATTAGCATATTTGGAAAAATCATTTTTTTAAGATTAATTTGGTACCACACACTTGGTATTTCGAGTCAAATTATCGTTATAAACCGCATGTTACAATTTGAAATAAACCATATGCGAAAATGTCAAAATGTCAGATATGATATGTCATTCTATTCAGAGTGTCATTTTCTATCGAATAAGGTAAAAAAATACCGAGGGTGTCGTTTAAAAATAAAAGTTGCGGTAATTTCTGGTGAAACGAGAAGTGACCAAAAAGAACTGAATACGTCAATGAATCCTAATTTATATCACATACTAACATACCAAATCTCGTTTTTTATCTGAAAAATTAAAAAGTTATAGGTGTGAGCCACTTTTGAGACACTCGGTATAGTTTTAGTTATTAATTAATGTTAAAAATCGAACATTATAACAAAAATCAATGGAATTATGTATTTTAGGACTAGACGAACCACCTCAAGCATCTTCTCCCCTCTCAGCTGCTTTCTACACAAGCACCATGTCTAGTTCTGCAGCTGTTGAGGAAGCAATACAAGAAATACTTCCTGGAGAAAGTATTACAGAAGATAGCTTGTATCCTCTGTCAAATACGCCACCATCCCAATCCGAAAACGATTCCTTGGGTTTATCAACCCCCGTACCTTCACCAAGAATAGTATCCACTTCAATTCCATCACCACATCCAGGAAATAGCTTCAGTCCATCCCCGAAAACTTCCTGTTCCACTTCCGCTCTAGGAACTCAATGGGGAACCGCTACTACGCTTATGTTGCCCAATTCAGACGACCCACTTTTATCCAGCCAACCCAAAGACTTTGTTCCCAAGAAGAGAATACAGCTGAACGGTGTTCCTGTTAGACTGATAAGCAACAACGGATTGATAGAGTTAAACAGCACAAATTTTACTGGATTATTACTAGACGCCAATGGAGAAATTAAGTTGATCCAAACTGGGACTGGTGGATTACCAGCGAAGAATTTTGTGATGACCAATGCCCAGTTGGTGACGACAACGACGTCCAATCAGGATCCCGGAAATAAAGATAAACCTAAAATACATAAAGTAACCGTTGCTAAAGCTGTTCAACATCCATCATCGATTAAGCTGGTCAGAACTAAAACAGTTATCGACGCAAAGAAAGATGAGTGCAATGATATTTTCCTAAGTCCAACAACGTAAGTTTTAGGAATCTGTCTATTCTAGTACTAATCAAATTAAACATAACAGGATACCAACTGCGAGTCCTATAAAACCATCACGTAAAAGACTTAGAACAGAACCACTACAGCTTCCGGTATTTCATCAGTCGAAGCTGAGAGCTACCAGAAGCAAGCCACAAGGAGCGGCTCGGTATACACCTCAACCCATCCTAAATCCACAACGAACTGGAACAGGACTTTATACTAATATAAAACAAAAGTCCAGTAAGTATAAATTGAAAACTTTTAATATAATTAATTCCAATATTTTCTTCAAAATTCTTAGGTGAAGATGGAACCACATGGAATAGTGACCCCATTCCTGAAACTGATTCCACACCTCATATTAACATAGGTTCACAATATCAGTGCAGTCTGCCAAGTTATAAATCAGTACCTAGGCGAATATCACCAGAACCAGCCTATGAAGACCTACTTTGGGATCCTGGTATCGGCATATGTACCGATTCAGAAGGTTTGTATTGAGATGAATCAAATAATATAATCAGAGAGGATATTAATGAATTAATTTATCTAGTTGACATGTACTTGGAGTTTGCATGTTGCGCTGCTATTCCTGGCGGGGGAAGAAATAAGGAATACGCCATGCATTTATTGCATATGTGTGGAGGAAATATCCATGTAAGTTGATATAGTTTGTAAGTAGATGTGTGTAGATAATAGATGAAGAGGAATCGTCTATCTAATAATTCTATTTATAATAGGTGTTCATTTTATATCTAAATTCACAAAGGCCGCATGAAATTATCATGGCGATGCCGATGGCACGTTAGACGTTTACGAAACCGGTGATTGAATTTTTTGGAAAATTTGGATTTTTACTTAAAGGCACCTGCTCCATCTTTCTAAAATATTTTCAGTATTACAGTGTTGCTGCATCATTAGAAAAGTGGTAGCACCTTTTTTTATTTTAAATGAAACACCCAGTATAATATTACATTTTTGGAAGTTACTTTCATATCTCATAATTTTTCTATTATGCTAACCTATATCTCTAATAATGACAAAAACATGATCGTGAATAAGCACTGGGAAAATCATGAATTAAACATTTTTTTCGTCATACTATATTGTTATATTATTATAACATAAGCAAAATCAGAATGGAAAAGATGCATATAACGTCCGCCGGACGTTATCATAACGGCCGGCGGCCGTTAAGTTTCTAAGGTAATCGTAACGTCTGTCACCTGCAACAATGACTATTTATTGTCAGTTGGACTTTTCAAAAATTGGGAAAATAGACCATAGCGAGATGTCGCGAGAAATTCCGTTGGAAATACAGGAGGAAGCGGCTGCGGCTACTCAAAATTTACTTCCGACTATAACCAGAGAGAGATATCAGCAGGAATATGACAATTTTTTTGAAGTGGCGGCAGGATAGAAGTATAAACAGCGTAAATGAAGCGGTATTGCTGGCTTATGCTAAAAGAATGTCTGAAATGTATTCTCCTACATCACTGTGGACAAAGATATCCATGCTGAAGCTTGCGTTGAGAGTATATGAAAACATCGACATATCAAGGTAAAAAGCCATTATATTCTTCGATATTTAATCATACTCATCTAAATTATATTTGTTCATAGATTTGGTAAACTGTTCATGTTTCTGAGGCGCAAAAAACGAAGGTTATTCACCAAAAAAGCCAAAGTTCTGTCGGAGAATGACATAAATAATTTTCTACTGAATGCCGATGATTACACCTGGTTACTCGAAAAAAATTGTATTGGTGCTTGGTATTCTTGGAGCTTGTAGGCGCAGCGAGCTTTGGTCACTCACAGTTGATGATTTCGAAGATTCGGAGAAAAATATTCTTGTCTCATTAAGAAATACTAAAAATAAGAAAGATAGGAAATTTCTTATTCCAAAAACGGGCCTTCCGTTTGATGCCTATGGTTTATACAAAAATACATCAACCTGCGTCCTCGTAACTTTGACAATCCAAAATTTTTCATTGGTTACAAGAAAGGCAAGTGTGTTAAGCAAATCGTCGGTATACATACCATCGGGGAGCGTACCGCAGAAAATTGCAAAATTTTTGAACTTGGAGAATCCAGAACGTTATACAGGGCATTCATTTCGTAGATCATCAGCAACCATGCTCGCCGAAAATGGTGGTGATTTACTATCGCTAAAGGAGCTAGGAGGATGGGAGTCTTCAACAGTGGCAGAAACTTACATAGAAAAATCAGTTTCCAAAGAATGAAAAATAACAAATCAACTTTTTCATGATAGCTCCAAAAATAATGTGTCTTTAGTGGATACAAATATTTGCCATTCTTCAGTAGCATCATCTTCTTTCTATAAAATCTGTAAATCCCTGGGAAGGATTACAGATTTCTAAGAACAACAAGTGCACTTTTAATTTCCATGTTCATTATCATGAAAAATGAATTTTAGTATAAGACATTATGTATTTTTTATCCTTACTTGTGTTATTGTTCAATAAAATTTGTTATTAAATAGTAGTGTTTATTGCTCTAAAAAATCTGCAGTATGACGAAAAATCTAGAACGCAACACGGCCTTGGCTGCTTATGATCCTCGGCTATCGCCTCGGATCACAAACTTCAGCCCGGCCGTTATTTGTTGTTTATCGGCCTTATTACGTTAATAACTATAAAGGTGAAATTTGGTTCATAAGTTAACGAAAGTCGATATATTCGATATGTCTAAATAAACCGATTGGATATTACATAGAGAGAGCAAAAATATTATTTATTTCCGTTTGTTACAAATCAAATCTTTGATATTTTAAATTCAACCCTATGCATATAAAAGAATAATAAAATTGCTTTTTAACCATATATCATGTTCCTATACCTAAACCTTCCGGTTTCTTAAGTAGAGCTATATAAACATTAATAAATCTATTATAGTTTCATTTCATGAATTTCGTTACCATAGCAATTTTAGAAATTCAGCACGTAAACTCACTGATACCTTTGACTGATACTTATAAAGTTTGAATATTTGTGATGGTAACGATTTTCTTAACAAAACAATTATAATCTTTGATTGTAAGTGAATTATTATCTTTTAAATGACTGTACTGAAGAAACCAACCTGTTTAGGTGTAGGAATATGATGTATCGTTGAAAAGCAATTTTATTTGGGTTTCGATTATTTGGGTTTCGATTTTTTTAAATAATATATATATATATATATATATATATATATATATATATATATATATATATATATATATATATATATATATATATATATATATATATATATATATATATATATATATAGGCTTGAATTTAAAATAACAATAAGAAAGTGACTCTGCTGCTGCCGGCACCGCCGCGCCGGTTCCCTTAATGGTTGCCGGCTCTGGTTCCATTGACGGCTGAAAGAACGGCGGAAACTAACGCCTGGCAATAGCCAATTTTGCGAGAGCAGCTGTGGCTCCATGACTGAGGCCATCACTTCGTGAACGAGAGGTCCGTGGTTCATAGCAATCACAATACGTATTGCGTTGGTTTCACTCTTTTTGGTGGGGTTAGATTGATTATTTGGTGGAGTTAGTTGTGTTGGTTAAGTTGGTTATTTGGTGGGGTTGATTGCGTTGGATAGGTTAGCTATTTGATGGGGTTGGTTTGGTTTTTACTAATTTACATTTGTTTAGCGATTTTGGTTAGTCTTTGGGGTAAGTTGACATCTTTATTTTCGGAGCCGGCATCTGTCCTCCCGAATTGTGGAAGCCGGCGCCGGCAGCGGAGTCACTTCCTAAGAATAATTTAATAACCTTTTTATCTCGAAAACTATCAGAGATTGATATAGGTCCGTATAATAGAAAAAAATTTAGATATAGAAGTAGTATCGAAAAATATAGTAATATACCGGATGTTCAATTTAAAATAACAAAGATGCTACCACTTTTAATGCAGGTGCAGTGAGCAGGTGCCTTTATGCAAGAATCCAAATTTACAAAAAAATCGTACACGTATAACCCAATGTTACTGAAAATGCCAATAACGGGTAAATAAATATTTGTATTGGCATTGTGTATAAAAATATATTTTAACAAAACTTAAATTAAATCTTAAAACCGTAATACCCGACACTGATGCGGTCAGTACCTGAAAATATCATTGACTTATTGTTATACGAAAAAACCCTATTATCCTCGGCAAACGTACCGGATGGGTCCTACATGTTAAAGCTATCTGAATTACATTGGAACCTTTACTGGAATATATACCCATAAATGAAATTGGACCTATCTTTTGGCGTGTCACACTATACAACAACACGCCTTTTACATTTATAACAAAGGTGCTATCTATCAAGCATTAAGAATAGATTATAAATAATTTTATTAAAACAATTTTTTAAAAATATACATACATCGGGATAATTCTTTCGACTATATTCATTTTTTTGAAGAGTTGTTGCCTCACTATACCCAGATTATACTTTAGATAGACTATCACACTTTCTAGATGGTAACCGCAATTGGTGAATGTGACACTCGTTCCATATGATACTTAAGCAGTTAATATAAAAAAATGATAAAGGATTTCACGCTTATCAATCTTAACGACTATTTAAATTAAGCTATTTTTAGGAAGCCATGTTACGTCTGATGCAACCATCCCCGAGTTTACCCGCAGATCATCCTCTGTTAGCTTATTCTTACAGCGAAAGTGACAAATGGACGTCGGCCGAAACAGAACTGTTTCATCGTTGTCTGATGAAATTTGACAAGGATTTTAACAGAATATCCGAAGAAGTATAACCCTTTCCCTTTAATAAATAGCAATTTTATTTAAATTGAATGGTTTTGTTGCAGGTTAAAACAAAAACTGTCAAACAATGTGTTCAGTTCTATTACGTCTGGAAGAAAGTCTGCGCGGACGAATATGGTAGATTAAAGGCCATCAGGCAAATGAAAAGAAATCATAAAAATGTTTTGGAGACGGACGACAAGCCATACCCGGACGTGAGGTTATTAGGAGTAAGTGGTTTATTGTTTTACAATCTGTATGTTTGGGTAGAATATCAAATCAAGAAACGATTTGGCTTAAGTCAAAAATTATAAAGTGTATTGGCAATGGTATTACATAACATAACAGCGATTTGATCTTTCAGATTGCGGATAGTGAATCTCCAATGCGAAACTTTCTCTGCGAATATCCAGATTGTTCAGCTGTAAGTTTCATCTAAATTATTTAATTATACAGGGTGTCCCAGAAATAAATACAAATATTTTAACTGATAGTATATTTCGACCCCAGAAACACGCCTCTACGAGGTTTTTTTCGCGAAAGAAAAATAAAAATTTGGAATTTTTTGGAGAAATTTTCAGATTTTTTTTTAGTTTTTAGTTAAAAAACATTTCTTGATAGTACGGCAAGTAGTAGATTAAATTTACAAGAAAGAAACCCCAGAAAAGATCCAGTGATTCTCAAAATTTAAACAAAAAATCATTTTTATTTGGAAATTTTCAAAGTAAAATAACTCGGTTAATTTGGACTTGAAACTTTGAAAAACGGTAAAGAGAAAATATGTTTCTTTTATCGAGATCTACCACTTCTTAAAATATCTGTACTTATTTCTGGGACACCCTGTATATTTCATTATGCTGATAGCTAGGTATTCGATTTTTAAAAACTATTTGCATGATTATATTGTTTGACGGGACAAATTATATCTACCACAAGCTACAGATATAGTAACAGATGTAGATGATCCTATTCTGTAATATTTCATGTCCTGTAATATTTGATTTCGTACGTTATAAATCTATTATTGGAACTTTTATATTATTTTTATACCTACCATATGATCGAGAAAAAAAACAGTGTTAAAGACGGCTGGGGAATGACAATCGATAATAATTTTGTGTAAAGTCAATCTCTAGACGTCATATACTAAAAATCGACATAAAATTAACACTAATAATTATAAAAACTCAAAAAAGGATAGAACATTTCCAGAGACACAAATCTATTTCAAAAAGATATATTTTCTCAAAAAATAAATTACCCCCCAACCTTCTACAATGACTACAATGCCATTAAAAATAAAGAAGATGACTTCGAAATTGACTACAAAATTATCATCGATTGTCATTACCCAGCCGTCTTTGAAGCCGATTTCTTTCGATCGTAAATAGAAGCTTCATATAACATGTGATGCCGTTTTCTAAAACTTGCATGGTAAATTGGTTATTTTTTATCGCAAATGTAATTTAAACTAACATCCTCAGGAACATATTTCGTCCCATTTTAGTTCTCTTGATTCGTCATTTTTGCCTGATTTGAACCATGTTATATTGAGTTGGAAACTCGACGTTCCACTCACTTTTATGAGACTAAGAAAAGCAAAACGTTCTTTAAGCGAGAGAACGTAGAAGATCACGATAACCTTTTAGAAAATTATATAGAGAAGTATCTCCAATTTAGACAGGGATAATAGTAAAACACAGTAACGCAGTATGTAAATGGAACCAGTTAGTGAAACGACAGTATGTGAAACAAAAAAAGTCACATACAGTCTATAACTCATCATACATGGGGATATTCCTGTTGTAGGCGGACAGGATATTTCCCATCCTTCTCTGATAACAGATGTGCTTCCTACGAGTACTAGCTCCTCCGAGACCCCTACACCCTTCCAGGGTTAGGGTTTGGCCTTCCCAATAGGCATCTAAGGTTGATAGGATTGACGACGAAGCCATGTGTAGATTTTCCCAATTCGAAGAAGAAACGATGACTAATGTGGTGTTCTTTGCTAAGCAATGATTTTTTGAAAAGGATAGAACTATCTAATATAAGTTATATAACCTAGGGTTAGGAGGACTCTCCAATAAATCTGAAACGGTTACAGTGGAATAGGCCGATAGCCATCCTAAAAATATAATCTAAATTTCTCCCTGTTATAATGGATAATTATTCCAACCATTTAAGTGGCTTGTTTCTTACTCACTGTTTTTGAACCACTTTTGTAACTGGTTTTTGCAGAATCACAAAAGAATACAAAACTTATAGAAAGAAAAAGCCCCTTCTAAAAGCAGATGAAACATTTCGGCGCTCTCAACTCAATCTAATACGGTCCAAATCCGGAAAAAGCTACTCGTATATTTATAGACACCCGCCATGATAACTTAGGTTCTCATTTGTTCTACTCTCTATTAACTAACTCTTCTTGGTTTCAGAGTTTCAATTCTCGAGCCGCACTGAATGGCCACATCCGCATCCACGGCGGCACCGCTCGCACATCGCCCACGCCCTCTAACAGCGAGCGACGTCATGCCTCTTCCTCCACCAACACGTCGTTCTCTGTCACCTCCACCGTCTGTCATCCCGACTCCACCGACCAAGAGTACCCCTGTAAGATATGCGGGAAGTAAGTTGTGTAACACACAGATCGCGTCTGTGTCTCTCTAAAGCGATCAGGTAAATCTTCGGTGTGTTGTTGCGTCCTCTGCTTACGTGCTAATACTATTATATATACGTTTCTTTCACATAGATTTTTATATTTATGTCGAACACACCAACATCCAATGAACGGACCAGAGGTATCTTTTATTTTGGTTTCTTTTTTCCTCCGTAGTCAGGTTGTCGGCGGTTATGCGATAGAATTTTGCTCTTATTAAGTAACAACAAAAATACAAATAAATGCAAATCGTAAACAGGTAAATTGTTGACGTTTGGATGTACTCGTATAACTAAGCAAGTAAATACAAATGGATTAAACTAAAAAGTAACTTTGCAGTAATGGAAACATCAATAACATTCTTACCGATGCCTAGAAGCAGTCTGCTAAATGTAACTAGAATTCTTTACAAAATGATAAGTGACACACCACTTTGCAGTGGATCTAAATAAAGAAACTAAACAAGTCAAGAGCATCCATTCTGGATGAAGTTCAGCTTTCTGTATGTAATCATGTCATGTGTGTCTATTTGTGTGTCAAAAAAAATTGCCACAAATTTTCTAAACTATAATTGTAACATCGTCTAGGTGGCTTAGACGATGTTAAAACTTAAATAACGATATGCTTATATTTGTCTATGAGGTAGTGAAATTTTTTTGTACTTATTTTCCCAGTGGGTGAATATATAATAGTTTATTCGGATGGTGACATTAAATGACAATTTGTGAGTCTGGCTAAAATTTAAAATAAAATAAAAGTCCACTTATGATTCCAGTCATAAATATTTTATATTTATTAAAGTGAATCATTTATTAATAGAAAAACAGTCTAGCAAACTCCAAGTGGTGGAAAGTCAGTCTGGCCGAAAATTTGTGGATGCAAAAATTTGACAGATTTTTGAAATCCATAACCCTGAAACTCCATGCTTGAAACTTAACGTGTCATCTGGTACTATCATAACCTATAGTCAAAAGCAAGTCTGGCTGATTTACGAAATTGGCAAAGAGTACGGCGGCATCTTGATAATTGCAAAAATTACAAAATATTGGCTCTTATTTTCCCAGATTTGAAAATTTGTCACATGATAAATAATATTATAATTTCATAGAAAATACACGTCTGGTACATTTACAATCACGAAATCCACGCCAAACTCAAAAGTCAGGTCGTACATTTCGTATTTTTAGATGCGAAAATTTTTGACACTGCAATTTCGTGATTTTCAATATAGCAAAATCGAGAAACATTACTTTCAATTTCAAAAATTGCTCTAGATCCAAACCCATTCATATGATAAGTTAAGTCACCTTGACTAGATTTTTTATTGCTATAGCTCAAAAACTAAGGTAGATACAAAATCAAGAGATAGATTTTGTAGAGCATTAAATTTCCTACACAAATATTTGAGTTTAATATTAAATTAATATTAGTTATTAATACAACTTTCATTCACAACAATTATTAAATTATTGGCGAACAAAGTTTTTTGATGATGGACGATGTCTAGAAGTAAACCTTGTTTTGAACCACTAAAATCTTGTTTTTTGGATTCCTGGGATCAAAACTTTGAAAAAAGTGTGTTTGGCCATAGTCAAATTTCGCCCTAAACCAATACTTTTCTTACCATAAATTATGAAAAGTAAAAACATGTGGAGATGACATCAGTCACCTGTATAATTGAACATGCCGAATTTAGCGCGCCTGACGAGCGTTGGACGAGAGTGGCAAGGCTTTCGGGATGTTCCACATTCCTAGCCAGACTATATTTTCGGTTGTTAGGTTAGGTTTATAATATAAACTATCATCCGACAAATTTTTAAGACTGCGAAAATAAGGGCAATGGTTTCAATAATGTTTATACAATTTTTCACCTGCCAGACATATTACCCATTCTAACGAGAGAATGGGTTACCCATTCTCGCGAGACTATTCTTTTTTTTTAACTGCACAACATCTCTCACTAATAGAACTATTTTTATCGCTGGAAAAAAGTACAGTATATTTGTACTTTATAACGCATTTTCCGCCCAACCCATCGGAGCCCCCCCCCCCTTTAAATTATTAAATTTGCTTAGAATAAAATATCGAATAATTCTATCGATTGCCGATTGGGAAAATAAGTACAGAAAATCTTCACTGTCTTCTGGACTATGTAAATAATTGTGCATATAGTCAGATAGACAAATATAAATAAATATCTATTCTATTTATTATCCATTAATCCATTACTTATTTTTTATTGAAATGCAACGAGTGATGAGATTTCTCCTCCAAACTGACAATATTAAAGCCTATTAAAACTGTAAAAGTAACACTACAATAATTTTGACAAGTATCTGCTTTACTTCTAATAAATAAATAATCAAACTAATGTAAAATGACAACGTCGCATATCCGGTTCTAATCCGACACGGCTTTTTTCTGTCCCAGAGATAAAGACAGAAATATTTCCTCCATTTTCCGCCATACGTTGGGAAACTTATTTTCAAGCATGCAATATGTTGTTTTTTCCTATTTTATTTTTCTGCCCACTCTCTTATACAACTGGAGTTTTTGAGTCATTTTTAGAACGCACGTCAGCACGTCACAACAAAATACTGACAGTTTTTGCCTAAACATTAAAATAATAATTCTAAATATTTTACTTAAATATAATAAACATTCTTTATAATAAGAGCTTTAATTAAATTAAACAAAAAGTAAAAATACATTGATTCTAACAAAAAGAAATAAAGAATGATACTGTGTCACATTTCTCATTTTCATTAAATACACGTTAGAAATAAGTATATTTGGTCGTAACTCCACAACTACATTAATTCAAAATATGATTACTTTATGAAAAATTGTATAATCATTAAGCTTATTGAGCTTATTAATCTCTTCTCATTGACTTTCGTAATTTGGAGTTCTATTTTTATTTTAAAGTATCAATTCTTTGAGAATAAACAAACCTACATGAAAAAACTAAAGACTCCTTATATACTAACACAACACAGACTGCTTTTCTTCTCTGTCTGGAAAATAGATTTAGCTATTATTCTTTTTTCTTCAAACTCTAGATCTAGCAATTAATACAAAAATCTATAATCGTGTACCTTTGTCGTATAATTTTGCTCAAAAAACGTAATAATTATATGTTTTATCATAATATATGCGTTTAGGATGCTCCGAATGTAAATATTAAAATTTATTTGTGAGAAAGATGGTATTAGCAAAATTCTCTTTAGTAAATAATTTTCATAATACCTGTGTTCAGGATAATCCAATTTTGTAAGTAAATTATATAAAGATTATAACAGTTAATCGATAACTCTGGAAAACAAAAACTTAAGTCAAAATAGAGTATAAAGTTAATTAAAGTTTTACTCTTGACTTGCGTTACATTATTGTTCATATAATAGAGCTCCATAAACTGTACTTTTGGGCTTAAATTACATAGGAAACTAGTCAATTCGCATTGTGTTCGGACATGCATATCTCTAGGATCCTCGAGGCTATAGGGGATTAAAATATCTAAACTAGAACTATATTCCATCTAACGGAATATCGTGTAAACTAGTTAAAATATATGCGTTTGAAACAAAGTTAATTGCATACCGCAATTTCGATGTAGTCGAAATATTTTATGGGAATGTATAATTTATATTCTGAATATACAGGGTCGCTGTTATATATGGAAACGGTCGATTATTAGCTAAAATATAAGAGGTACCGCAAAAAGTTAAATAAAAAAGTTATAGGATTTTTAAATATCTATTAGCGAGTAATAAATTTAAGTATACAGGGTTAGGTTAGGTTGTCATAAAGTCGTGGCACATAAAAGTTTCATTTTTTTTTTTAATAGAACCCCCTCTATATTTCAATTCTTCCTTTACTTCTAAACAAAAATCGAAATACACAATGTACCTCAAACCAACCGTTTCCGCGTTATTGACTTTTGAAAATGTCACTTATACAATTTGATTTAATTAATTTCGATATGTTCAGTTTCATTTAACGATGCTATTCTGCCGAATCTGTGACACTGTTGTAATGGGTTTTTAAATGCCTATTAGCTACTAGTAAACTTAAGTATACAGGGTCGGTCATAAAGTTGTGGCACATCAAACTAAAATGAAACCTTAAAATCAAATTTAAATCAATCTTAAACGAGACCTCCTGTATATTATTGCATATTTCATTTCTTCCTTCAATTTTAAGCAATAATCGTAATACACAATGTACATGGTGGGTCAAATTCGACGCTTTTAAATGGAAACACCCTTTTCTATAGGAGATAGAAGAAAACTAATATCGGTGTCTGGAGCTCAATTTTCATAAAAAACATGATGGTGAAAACCGCACATCAATATCTGTTACTGTTTCGGAGTTACGAGGTGTTTTTTAAAAATGTGCATTTTTAACAAATCGCTGTAACTTTTTTGCTACGGAAAATTTTGTATTTCTATGAAAACATTTCCAAAACACCCTTTTATGTAGAATTAACGGTTTAAGTATACTTTTTTTAAAATTAATAATTTAAGAGTTATCAACAGAAAAATTGATTTTTTATTTGGGACACCCTCTATATTTTTAATTAACTGAAAAGAATTGAAAATTACCTTTCCAAAAATATAGCACACTTGATATTTTGTTATAATCCCCTTCGAAATACAGAATTTTTAAAAGTTCGCCACTTTTAACTAGTAGGGTTTGGACCCCTTATTGATGATATGCCCTTAATGGAACTCGAAAATATATTTTTCCAGCAAGACGACGCGACGCACCGTCTCAGAACGCTGAAGTTATTAGCAAATTTTTGCAGCCAATTTCAAGAATAATTGAATAGCTAACAAGATCCCAGCCGTTGGCCGTCGAGGTTGCCTGACTTAGTGCCCATGGATCTAATCCATAATTCCTCCGTATAATCTAGACAAGAATTAGAAATACTTAGCTGTTATGAGGGGGTATTTTTCACCCATTCTGAATTAAAAAAATCCGCGAGAAATGTTCAAAAACGGCCCCGTCTGTCCATAACAGAAGACGGTCGATATGTCGAACACCTGTAGCAAAATCTCATGTCTTGGTTTGCTATTTATTTTTATTGTTATTAGATATAGTTTAAGTGTGTTGATGTTGGTTAAATATATTTTAAATTGTTATAAAATTCTGCAGCTCTCATTGCAAATATTATTTTCGTTTTAATTGATGCTCACAGCTAGAATTTTTTGCATTACAGCCGGTGCCGTTCAAAGCCTACTAATTTAAAGCGGGCGAAGTGTGTTATATTTTTGGAAAGCTAATTTAAAATTATTTTCAATAAATTAATAATATACAGGATGTCCCATATAAAAAATAAATTTTTCTGTTTATAATTCGTAAAATATTAATTTTAAAAAAAGTATACTTAAACCATTAAATTCTACGTAAAAAGGTGCTTTGGAAATGTTTTCATAAAAATAAAAAATTTTCCATAGCAAAAAAGTTACAGCGATTTGTTAAAATGCATATTTTTGAAAAGCACCCCGTAACTCCGAAACGGTAACAGATATCGATATGCGGTTTTCACCATCATGTTTTTGACAAAAATTGAGCTCCAGACACCGATATTAGTTTTTGTCTATCTCCTATAGAAAACGGTGTTTCTATTTAAAAGCGTCGAATTTGACCCACCCTGTACATAAATTGAAGAATTGAAATGTTAAATGAAAATTTTGTAATTTCCAGACTTGATATAATCTCATTTTATACATCTGTAAATGCTAACTTGAAATCTAAATGTAAATGAAACTGAACATATCGAAATTAATTAAATCAAATTGTTTAAGTGACATTTTCAAAAGTCAATAACTCGGAAATAGTTGGTTTGAGGTACATTGTGTACATTTCGATGTTTGCTTAAAATTTAAGGAAGAATTGAAATATGCAATAATATACAGGCGGTTCTATTTAAAAAAATAACCCCTCCCCCTTTCATGTGCCAGGACTTATCATCCACCCTGTATACATGAATTTATTACTCGCTAATAGAAATTTAAAAATCCTATAACTTTTGTATTTAACTTTTTGCGGAACCTTCTATATTTTACCTAATAATCGACCGATTTCCATACATAAGAGTGGCCCTGTATAACTGAATACAGTAAAATGCAAAATTTACTTTATACAAAAAAGCAAGCAACTGCGTCTTATTTTAGAAGGTATTAATAATTTTGAAAAGTTTGTGTTAAAAATCTACATAACTTTGTATTTAACATAGTAAATGAATCTATGAAGTGATAATTTAGATTTTTGATAAAATTGATATTAAAACAAACAGCTATATAAGCTTGGCAAAAAAACTATTTTACTCAGAGTATAATATTTTATATCTTAGTACCTAACTTCAAAACACTAAAAACTCTCAGCTAAATTATACGACACAGGTGCCTAAGAACTACTTAAAAATAACACCTTCCCTTTTATTACCACCTACAGAGTGTTCCCAAAGATCAAAAGCCGCAGTGCTCACATGAAGTCCCATCGGCCGCCCGATGCCGAACCTTCGAAACGTCGGAACAGCGAAGCCAGGGAACACAAGGAACCCAAAGAAGTAAAAGATTTCACTTCGAACGGTAGCTACGAGCTCTCCGTGCCAAGCCCTTTTAGTTTGTAGTACCTTAACATTATCTAGTTTTAACGAATGATTTTCTAAAAGTAATCAGTGAAGAGGTCTCGATGTCAACCAAGCTTTTACTTTCCAAATTTAATAATGCTGAACCTTTGGTAAACACAGATAATATTAAATAGAGTTTACCTTTACTTTTGAGACGAACCACCGGATATATTTGCGTCTCAAAAATGGCTCGCCCATATAACGTTTTTATTTTTTCAGATAACAAAATAGATTTGTTATGTTAGTATATGGTATAAATTAGGATTGATTGACGTATTAAATAATTATTTTTGGCCACTTCCTGTTTCACCGGAAATGATTACAACTTTTTATTTTTATAGCACCCTCTGTATATTTCTAAATAGAATGACATATCGTATGTCAACTTTTGACATTTTCGCATGTGGTTTATTTTGTAACATGCGGTTCGTAACGACAATTTGACTCAAAATAGCAAGTCTGTGGTATCAAATTATTCGTAAAAAAATGCTTTTTTCAAATATGCTAATGAGCCACCCTTGTTCCAAAAAAAATTTCCTTCCTTATTGAAAAAATTGAGATATGATAAAAAAACGATTTGGGTATATTTTAACCGGCCAGGACAAGACACGAAAAAACATTAGATCATTAAATCTATTTTTCAATTCTTCTGATTAAAAATTAGTGTTTTAAACGCAGCCATGGCACAATAGATTAAAATTTAAAATACAATTTGCTCTTAAGTGAAAATGTCAAAAGTTGACATGACATGTAATTCTATTCCGAGTGTCATTTTCTATCGAATGAAGTGAAAATATACCGAGGGTGCTATTTAAAACTAAAAAGTTGTAATCATTTCCGGTGAAACAGGAAGTGACCAAAAACAATTGAATACGTTAATCAATCCAAATTTATGCCATATACTAACATAACAAATCTCGTTTTGTTATCTAAAAAAATACAAACGTTATAGGGGTGAGCCACTTTTGAGAAGCACCCGGTATACCTTAGATTCATTATAAACTGTGTATCATACGCAAATGCTGGAAATTATAAATGTATTATTATACGTTCTAAACAGATAATTTTAGACTCAACACTTTCCGTAAATATATTTTATTTACATTCCATCATTAGTGACATTTGTGTTTAGCCGTCTTGACTCATGTACGACATCGAAACTAACTGACTGTGTTTTCTAGCAATGATATTAATCAAAAATTTATAGTTAGTGACTTGGTTGACTCGAGGACCATTCAAAATCAAAACACGGTCACCGGCAATCAAAAACAAAGCAACAAAAATGAGTCAGATCAAAACAAAAAACACAAAGCTAAATACTGTACGATTTTATAAAAAGACATATTAACTTAGAAACATTTAAAATTTTAGGATATTAAAAAAATGGTAAACAAATATAAATAGTATAGAATTGTATAAAAGAATAAAAAAACTTCAATCCATAGAATACAGAGATATATATTTAATATTTATTGGGGTTGTGTTACGTTACATCAGATGTAACGTTAGTGCCTTTAAGAGTCGAGTGAGACAGACACAACAAAAATAAACACATTTTTAGAGCACAAGTTACTATCAACGATAAGAATTTTCGGGATTATTATTCTTAGGTGCTCAACATTCAGTAGCCTAGATGAACCGAACGAATCAGAAATAAAGAAAATCGTGACATGATCATTACTACTAAAACTAAAAAACTCAACAGTGCCTATGAGAATCTAGGCTAAAACGATATTGGCTTCATCAACTAAAAGATTTTTTCGATTCATCTCGCGAAAGGAAAAACAAGTATAAATTTAATAATACTGAGCAATAAGATCTGAACTCAAGTTGTTAAATCAAATATCAAAAAATAAATAAAAATGGCCATAGATATAAACAAACTATACGTATTTTAATGTTACGAACCCACTCACTTGTCACAGAATTTACTTAAGTTTATTATCCTGGCTGGCGATGGATTGTGTGAAACTATCATGTGTGAAAAAATAGTATAGAAAAGAATCTCTAAGTTTATAGTTTCATATAACAGGAAACTAGTAACAGTAACTAAAAAACAGTATAGTCATTAATATTACTTAAATAAACTTTTTTAAATGTCTTGAGAACAACTTAAGATTTTAAATACTAGTAAAATTAAATTTAAAATTTAAGCAAGCAGTGAAGTTTTCTTATAATAAATATATTTTCAAAACATTCTGCAGAGTTACGTATGAATTATATAGATTCTCCAATCCATCGACCAGCACATTATGTAGACTAAATAATCTAGGATGGAGGAATTGCTCAAAAAATATACGACATTATTTCTACATGTTTTCCCATTTTTTTAGGTACTATATAAGTATTAACAATGAACTACTTTTAAGATATATACATAAATATATCGTATATAAGATTATTTTAATAAAATATAAAACGGTACTAACTCTTCTTGTCTACTAAATTTTAGGTCTTTAGATTGACCAGAAATATCTTCTTCCTTAACTGCAAACCGACTTTTCTTACAAAATTATTAATTAAATCGAAGTAAAAAATCTTGCAGTTAAAGAAAAACATGTCCTATTGTAGTTAAATGTAAATAGAGACTAGTCAAACCCTATATAAAAATATAATGTGCCATAAAAGTGAATTACTCGAGACAAGTGATACAGTTCGTAGTTTTTTTTACTCAAAAAAATGGCGCCGCCCCTGTACAGGTTCGGTGCCACTTTAACTCTGTGTTGTGATCTTTTTAAAGTCTATTACTATGAATCTATATCTATATTATTACCTATTGATTAAAAAAATATTTGTATATGTTACCGTATGTATGATATTAGAGTATTTATTATAGACACGGCTTACGTTACCCACAAGTAAGGGGCTAAATTTCCAAACCACAAGAAAATAAACGACAATCTACATAATTTTAAATGAGAGATGGCCTCTCTCTGTCTCTCAGTATCGATGTTTTCTAATGAAGTCGTTTTAGTAACGATAATAAAATACTTTAAAATAGATAATAGTGGGCTTTTAATATAGATAAATGTTGTTAAATGTTTTTATTAATAATCGTAAGTATGTGTGTGTCCCACACTATTCACCCAACTATAATGCTGTCGATACACAAAAATTTGTTTGAAACATATCAAGAAGGAGCTTAAACAAAATAATATATAAAAACAATCTTTCTTGTTAAATTGTTAATAGTTGATTAATGATTCATAGACAAAAGTATAAAAACAATCAAAGTGAAAAGAGTAGTTTAGGAAAAATACTCATTCTGTGATATACTCACTGTATTTTTATTTACAGGATAATTCTATTCAAATCCAGATAGAGTCAGTATACAGTATCCTTATAAAAAAATAAAATTCATTGACTTGAAACTGAAATAAAAAATTATACTGAATAAAAAAAAGCATCAAAGGTGTCAGCCAACATCAACAAATTAATTATTTTATGCTTGTCAAAGTCAAAATTAAGGTAAAACTAAAGCCTAGCCATAGTGGATTAGAATCCTCAGCTTGCCGCCAAAACTTATAATTGTTTTGAAGCGCATACGTTGTAGGGCGCTGCTATAGCGGTTGCTAAGAGCAACCGCAATCAAGAACAGAAATAATTTTCTCTTGTCAAAGCAGTCAAAGGTAGAATCTTCAAAAATTATAAAATCTTTCAAAACTTAAAACCTCATTGAAAAAATACCGAAAACTGTTTAAAGTGTCCATTTTCAAAGTAAATATTGCTATCTTGTGAGTTTAATTTAAATTTTATTTACTCCCGTGATAATTGTGAAAAACTGGCATTAAAAACTTAAAAAACTGTATGAACTGTAAACTGCAAAAACCATCGTGGATCGTGGCATAACTTCGGTTTCCAATATTTCTTTTTATACAAAATATCCAATATCATTTTATCAATCCAATATTTTTTTATACATAAAATAAAGTTTCTTATATGCAAAACACTATTATAGTACGAGAGCTAGCAACGTCAGGAAAACAAGTATTTTAAGAAAGCTTACTCTTTAATATATCGTTTACTATGCTCTCTGCAACAGCATGCGGCCCGTCTGGCTGCCGGTAAACGTTGCGTTCCCTACTGCGCATTGAAAGAAGATCTTATATTTTTATTAGTCGTTTAAATTCTAGTATTGAATATAAACCGAGCGAATCTCCTTAACGCAGCGCGTAGAGGTTCCGCCCATCAAATGAGGAGTTAGAGACCAGGCCGGGGTAAAAACTTTTTTATTTTATTTTCGTTTATATTCAGATAGTAAGTTATTAAATAATTCTGTTGATTAAAAAAAAACAAATATTTAATACTTAACTATCAGAATATAAACGAAAATAAAATGAAAATGTTTTTGCCCTGACCCGGTCTCGAACTCTGAATTCTCGGCTCGTAGTCGGAAACTCTACGCGCTGCGCTATGGAGACTTGTGCGATTTAAATTCAATATTAGAATTTAACGGACTAAATAAAAAAAAATAGGATCTTCTTTCGATGCGCAGTAGTGAACGCAACGGGTATCGGCGGCCAGATGGGCCGCATGCTGTTCCAGATATATAGTAAAAGACATATCAAAGAGTCAGTTTTCTTAAAATACTTTCTCGAAAACGTTGCTAGCTCTTAGACTATTAAAATAATAATAAATTTGAATAAATAATATTTGGCGATATAATTTCGAAAAAAGTCGAACCGCTCCGAAAATATCAAAAGCTTTATTGGAGAGCAACCGTTGTAAGAATAGCGCCCAATAGTTTTACATTGTCCTTATGGGCACTTTCCAATCTAAACTTGTTTCTTGTATCTATAAAGCTTTGAAACATACAATAAGTACTTCAAGTTTCTTTTTCACTTTCACTATCAATATCAATAATTTCAAATGAAACCTCGAACTTGAATATTGTCTAGACGGCTGCTATGACGTTTTTTTAAATATTGATTATATTATAATAATCATTAAATCTTCAAGAAAAACATATAAATTGATGTCACTTTTTTAGATGATTTTATTTGAAGAAAAAGACGGACTAATATCTAATTATAGTTATATCAATATAAACGAACAAAATAAACGTTTTTTTTCATCACAGAACGCTCATCTGGTTTATCAGTACCACAGTATAAAAAACTTTTATATGTATAAAAAACTTTTATACTGTGTTAGAATCATCCTGCATAATATTGTATAAGTAAAACCTATTTCACCTGGCATAAATGACTCATTGTCTCAAAACATGTGCCAAATTAAATTATTAGTTACAAAAAAGAGGTATTTGTGGCATTATAGCGTACTTTCTGCAGTGTTGTGAACAGTTTATAGATTTGGTAATAAATAATAATTATATTAATATCAAATACGTACTAACTCTCCATAACTATATCCAAACATATTTGTATAATATATAAACATAATTATATATACATACTAATCCACCCATTTGTTCATGTTCCTATACAAATATCATCATGATTGATCACACCATTTCTATGGACTGTTCAATTTAATGTTGAATTGATGTTGCTTGACCCTTACTTAGGACTAACGTAAGCCACATGACTGAGCCAAGAAAATGGTAGACATAGGTATCAGGTGCTCAGACCTCTCAATTAATAATCGTTGTTATTCAGTGTGTACCTCCAGAACTGACGGCCATTTTGTTGTCCATATTGCTATATTGATACAAGCAAAATAGTACGAACTATAATAAATGAAACATAATATTTATCTAACTAAAACGTTCATATTTTAAGTTATTTACAGTGGAACTAAATACCACAGCATCAGTTTATTATGAATTTAAGTTAGTTTTTACAGTCTAGTTTGTCTTTAAGAGGTAGCTATATACAATTACAATCAAAGTATAAATATTATTTAAAAAAAATAGATCTAGGAGCTTTTTCTTTCTTCTAAATTAAATATTAATTTTTTGACAATTTTTATGTGCATGAAATTACTTATCATAGATTATTACTGAAAAAATCACTGCATTCAATAGTACCGGATGTGATAGGTACCGTTTAATTTTAAAACTAACTTAAGTTAATAATAAATTTACTGTATATTATTCTATAGAACAGGCATGTAAACAAATATCGTATGATCGAAAAAAGGGCATCCAGTTGGCTTGGAAATGATGATCGATGCCATTCACTATATAATTTTACATACCATATAGCTATCTTCATTTCCAAACCATCTCTGACGCTGTTTTTTAGATCGTATGGTATATATTTACATTGTCAAAATTATTTTTCATTAGATGAATAAATAGGTCAAATTTATTCTTTAGAAACTAAGTACAGAAGCTATATATATAATAATTATTAAGTAAAAAATAAAATTTAGCGCATATGTTGAATAATTTATACTATTACTGCTTAATACTTTTAGATTTCTTCGCTTAGCAAAAAAATAGAAATATATGAAAATATGATGAAAATACATTTAGATATCACAATTTTTTTTTGTATTTAATATATTTTTAGAATACTTACAGAAACTGTACCAGCGAAAAATATGAAAATCTAAATAAATCCTTAATTATATTTTTAATTCGCTAAAACTCCACTTTAATATTATTGTAGACATTTTAGAATTATTTTATAATCAGCTTTTAGCGCTGATAAAAAAATCATAAAACTGTTTTTATAACTACAATGTATTTTGAAATCTCTTGAGCAATACTTTTAGTACATTCGAAATAAAACCATATCATACATGTAATAAGAGTTACTATATTACATTAAAAAATACACACGAGTTCGTCCCAACCCGTACAATGAAGAAAAAGATACATTTTAAAAAGATTTCTAAGAAATTTTAAATAAAATTTATACTCTCTAACAATATATAAATATATTATCCATTTGTATATAAGATTATTTAAAATATTAACAACGTTTATGCTTTCTATAACGAATACTAGATATAAATATCGCTTGATTTTTTTTATTTTAGTTTTTCGTTTATTATTATGAAGTTTCTGAACGGCCTAAATACTGAAAAAAAAGTAAAGCTACCTAATCAGCGAAAAAAAGCATTTAATTGTGATAAAAAATATATTATAATTATAAAAAAATGTCCGTCATGTTCTTTAGACTTCGCTCTTGGGTTGTTATATGTAACTTGGCACTATATAAGTATTGTTATAGAACTGAAACATTTTCCTCGTATAAATATAGTGTGATCAAATAGAATAGCCGTCGCAGTAGGCGTGAAAATAATATTTCAGACCAAGCTTTTATTATGTCCACCACAAGTTAAAACATAATAAATCTAACTGAAATATATGTATGCGCCCACTAAGACGTCGTTTTTATTTCGTACACAAAAAAGTTTTTTTTTAATTTTAAAAATAAGAAATAAAATCTCTGTATATTTAGTCTCGTTTTCTTATGTTTGATTTGAGAAAAAATGCTTAGTTTTCGAGCAGACTCCAGTTTAATAGATCTATCAATGAAATGAAGAAGATATTTTTATATTAACAAAGTATATATTATTCTTCCTACATTTATACCATCAGAATATACACTAAGTCTATTTTTATTATTATAGAAAATGCTGAACCCGTAAATTTCATATTTGCAACCGAGAATAGCGACTTTTTTTGACAGGACAAAATAAAAAAAATGTATAAATCCAAAAAGTTCATCATCCTAAAAACGTGCCAATTGGTAGAGCTTATAGTCAATAGTGTCATGTAACATATTTATATAGAATATTGCTTTGTATATTTGTACATAAACTAATATAAACCTCCTCGTTACGTTATTTAGTAAATCAAATTTACTTACTTATTTACTGTCATACTTTGTTGGCCTGTTATGCCGAATAGTCGTTTCTTCTTTAGTTTTAAAGCTTTTGCCGTGCAGCGCTGCCAAACGTATTGTGTTTTCAGTGGGAACAGTTTTTTTTATTATTTCAATATATTTCTTGAGCTAAATAAACCTTACCTACTTGATTGCTATAAATTTATTATTATTCTAGGTATAGACACTGATAGTGAAATGAACTTATGGGAACTTAGATTGCCTACTATGCACACTATGGCAAGGAGCAAATTAATATTTTTTTTATTTAGAGTTGCTACATCAATGATGAAGGTTTGACATTATTTTCAGTACATAGAAGTTTTTTTAGGATATCTGAGAGCCCATAAGTTGTAGAGAAGTTTTGGACCTGTTTGGAATATGTATTAAAAAAGTATCTACGCTATATCAAAATAATAACAAACCCAAAGAACCTAAGAATACAAATACAAACTTTTAAGTCCAAAATTTCTCTAATAAGAATTAAGCATTATTGTATAAGCAAAAAGAATAGTAATAATGAATCTTCAAGGAATGTTTTCTTATAAAGTTCAAAACCAAGAACTGTTCCCCAACTGTACCTGACTTTGAAACAATTTCTTTTAGAATAATTATTAAAGTAATAATTATGGATATTTTGTTATGTAATTAATAAATTTGTTTCATTGTAAATCCTGTTACTTAGTCGTTTAGGGAATATTTATGTATTACATTATATTATGGTGTCTCAATATGGAAATGTGCTCATTTTATATCAAAAAAATGTGTATTAAAACCTTTCAATAAATGTCAATATGAATGTAGCTCATCTTTACGTCTAATTTTTTTTATAATGTTATTGCAGTTTGTAGAATTAAAAAGACATGTGTCTATAAAAACACACTGTGTGTTCAAACTAAGAAGAAAAATAGGTATTGCATTTATAATTATGAAAAAAATTACAAAAAAATATTACAGCAATTCAAATAATTATCCAGTTAAGGACAATCTCTTAATCAGACCACCTGTATATTATAAATGCGATAGATATAAAAAATAGAAAAAATAAACATTGTTTTCTTCTTATATAAGCGTTTAAGTAATGTTTTCTAATTTGTGTTAAATTAATTTTGTTGATCTATGAATATTTGTTGTTAAATTCTGTCCAAAAATTTCCAAACATATGTTTAAGAAAATGTATATGTAAATATACTTGTATGCACAATAAAATGGCGTTGTAAAAAATATTTGTTATTTTATTCCCCATATTAAATACACAAATTAGTTAAAAATATACCGTGTGGAACATCGGTACACGGGACATAGGAAATCCCATATAAATTTTGAAAAGGTCAAATATTATATATTACCTCCCCAGATGATTTTATGCAAAAATTGCCAGTTGGCTGGGAAATGACGATCGATGACATTTCCCATATAAAATGACAACAATTTTAATTTCATAGCCATCGCTGACGCCGTTTTTTCGATCATACGGTATTAGACTTTTTTGAAGAGGCGTTAAAGTTGTAGTTTCGTCTAAAATTTCGTTTTTCTTGGTGTAGGCATCTAAAAGTTATTTGCAAAAATCTACCTTCAAATATGAGCCTCTAATACCAGCAAAAATATGACTTTGTCAATGTCAAATTCGATGTCACACGCAATTTGACAATGACACAATCACATTTTTGCTGATATTTTAATTGTAGGTTTCTCTATGCCGTATTATAAATTTTACTAATTTGTTGATTGACCTTTTGAAAATTTATATGGGATTTCCTGTCTCGTGTTCTGATGCACCACACTGTATAAGTTTACTCTTGAAGAAAAATAATACCTACTCAGTTGTCTAGTTTTTATTAAAATGCCAATGATCTAGGTAATACAATTTTTCACACTTAATGTTAGATGTTAGTTCATAAATACTTTTTAAAATTTTTCTTCAGCAAAAACACAAGTTTTATTAGGAAATAAATGCAATTAGTAAATGTAAAAAGTCAATATACAATTTAAGCTTTCAAGGTATAGTTCAAAAAAAAATGTATCGATAATTAACAATTTGATCTTATAATAAAATATCATCATTTGCTTTATCTACAGTTCAATATCCTTTTTTCAATATTCTTATAGGAAGAAAAAAATAGAAATAGTTCCATCAACATTTCATAAATATTTCCAGATCCAGAGCATTTTAATAAATTACAAAAATTAACTTTATTCCCTATCAACTGATGCAGCATTTAAACTTTGTATTGCCATTTGTAACGCACCCTCTTTAGTTTTATTTCCACCGATAAATCCTGTTGAATGGCAAAATATACAATTTTCAATTCCTGCAACAGTGCTTAGTTCTTCATCACGTACTCCCAACCAATTTTTATGCAAAAAGACTCTATAAAGAACACAAATAAAAAAACACATATTAATAATGATATAATATTAAATCTATAGATCACTTACCGACATATGAAACTATCAGGCTGTATTGGTATCCCTTGTATTCTCCAAGTATCACTAGTCTTATCATGAAAAACACAAAATTTTATTTCCCCAGAAATGTTCATTTCTTCTTCTAAGATGTGTAAATGGTCTTTCCATGAACACCTATCTACCAGCAACATAATCTCACCAGTCTTATACACACTCTTTCTATTTTCTATACTCTTTTTTACAATTTCTCTTGCAGGCCACCATACAGAGATTCCCTTTAAAATACAGTATTAGAACAATCACTACTGTGTACTAAATAACTCACATCAATAACATGTTCCTTAAATTCAGATCCTACTAATGCTACCGCTTTTTCAAACAACTGATCAGTATCTTCATTCAAACTGTTCCATGCAGGATTCAATCGATGAACTCTAGCACTTAAATGTGTGTTTATTTTGTATCTTGGCTTGCCTTCGGGATACATAGGAACACCATTATCAATAGCATCTAATTCTTCTACAAATCCTTCATAAATGTAAAGGAATAAGTTTTTCAAACACTCAGAATCAGCTAACTTTTTGCAGAGTTTTGATTGAGCTAATATTTCACTTAGAATTTCTAAACCAAAATGAGCATACACCAAACCCGCAGAACTTAACCTACAAATATTAACATAAACAAATTTAGCAAATGATTGTCACAATTACTAACCTTATGTTATTAAACTTGTTCTTTGTTAACTCAGGCCTTATGGTATGAAGGGTTTCTTGAAATGATTTCTGATGGTGATCAAATCTATTTCTTTTTGGATCATATTCGGCTCCAACATCAACCACTATATCACACGTGTCTAGAATCTAAAATTCGCATAAATCAGTTATATACCTATTAAAACAATAAATACTACATACTTTAGGATCACGAGTCCTAACAATTTCAGCATCAGCATACTCAGGAAGTTGTTTCAACATAAAGCATGCCAATGCTTCATCACAGTGAAACATTCCATTATGGGTGCCTATTTTCTTAACTAAACGAGGTAGCTTGCTAGAACCCATAGTACTAAACCTGAAATAAAATTAAAACTCTGTATATCTTGGCAAATCAAAAAATCAAAGCAACATAAACAAGCATATTATAGGTATAGTTGAAGTGCTTGTTTAAAAAGCTGGTGTATTAGAAATAATATGTAATAATGTTGCTATTTATTACAAATATACTTAAAAATAAAATGTTTTACCCTTTCCACACGGTGGACGTTAACTCATTGGATAATTTTAAGAAATGTATGCCAAAATTTACGGCCCTTTCCATTTAGAAATAACCTTACTTTTTATTATTGTTGGAAATGGTAGATTTATTCTGTGGCAGACAACAAAGACATTTGAACATGATTTGAACCATTTGAACTACTAAATATTTTATTTAACTAGTTGCCTACACCTTGAAATGATAATTATTTTTAAATTGTAAAAAAATATTAAATGCTTATTACATTAATTTGCTTATGTGTTAATACTATAGCTAAAGAACTAATTTTGTAAAAAAAATATAGAAATATTTGTTTTAAAAATAGTTTATTTACAAGAAAAATAGAAATATATATAGACATGAAAAAATAAATAATATAGAACCCACTACCTCCCGAAAATCGTGTTAGAACATTAATATTTACAATATGATATAATTTGTATACAACAAAGACATCATGTGAAAATATATACACTATTTTGAAATACGCACTAACTTACATACAAAAACGATTTATAAACAATATCTACAACATTTAGACAAAAAAATAGTATTAACTAGAAACTTTCTTTTCTGAATATGAATCCATATTGGTCACATTTCACTTTTAGAATACGCCCTAATTGAGGAGGGCCGCAGTAAAACAGGGTGACTTTTCCTTTTTTCTGATCCGCTATTTGTTTGAAAACTCTATCCCAGTTTGGTCTACCAGCATTGGTTCTGGTTTTCAATCCTGTAATAAGGTCCCTTTTTTCCTAAAACGAAGCTATAATTATAATAATTATTAATAAACTATTACTTCTTAACCCATTTAATTCCATGACACTTTTTTTTCCAAAAACTGTTTTTTTCTGCTATATATGCTTAGAATTAAGTCTAAAAAGACCCATAAACAAATGTTTTATCATGTGTACTCATTTGGGTACAGTGGGAACTTGGAAACACAAAAATTAATTACTATAAACACTTTTTTAATACAAAATATTAGTTTAGTTCAATAGTTACACACAATTTTAAGCGTCTGTATGGAATTTCTCAAAAAACATTCTCGCTCTATACACAAAGTTACATTACACTTGATACACATCCAGCGAGCTCTCATGTGGCAATGTCGGCACCTCAACTGTTTTTCCAATTTTTTAGGAAAATGTCCATCCTCGTTTTGCATAATACTCTTAGGGACTGCACCAGTCGATCTGATAGTAAATTGCGTTTTTCCGAATTCATTAACTCAGTGGGGGTGAAAGATACCCTCTCATAACTGCTAAGTATTTCTAATTCTTGTTTATATTATATGGAAGAATAAGGAACCTTTATTCTTCCGCAAATATATCCATAGGATTAGATTCATGGGCAATAAGTCGTCATGCGGCCTCGACGGCCAACGGCTGGGATCTTGGTTAGCTATTCAATTATTCTTGAAATTGGCTGCAAAAATTTGCTGATAACTTCAACGTTTAGAGGCGGTGCGTCGTCTTGCTGGAAAAATATGTTTTCGAGTTCCATTAAGGACATATCATCAATAAGGAGTCCAAAGTCTACTAGTTAAAAGTGACAAACTTTTAAAAATTCTGTATTTCGAAGGGAATAAGAAAATATCAAGTGCTATGTTTTTGGAAAGGTAATTTTAAATTCTTTTCAGTTAATTAAAAATATAGAGGGTGTCCCAAATAAAAAATAAATTATTCTGTTGATAACTCTTAAATTATTAATTTTAAAAAAACCATTAAATTCTACGTAAAAAGTTGCTTTGGAAATGTTTTTATGATAGTGACGATGTTTCTAAGAAATGTTAATAGATCAATTTTCTCATCACTTGCATAAAAATACAACTTCCAAGCATTTACAGCACAAACGTTGAGAGTGTATGTAAAAAGCTGCAACCACCATTTTTTACCCTGGATGGAAATTCGGTAGTTATTGACAGCTTTGATACGTTGTAAGTAGCAAACAACTTTGGTTGAGGAATTTCAACTTTCTCATTTTTTCGAAGACCAGCGTTTTACTTTTGTCAATGGTTCTACTGTCTCAAAATTCGAAAAGCCTTGTAAAACCTTGTAAATATCATATTAACAAGGCTGTTATTCTTCCAAGTAATAAAGAGCTGGTTTCATCATAAAACGTTTGAAAATGATCACGGTCTCTCTTATTCCATAGTCCTTTCTCATCGAAAGGACAATTGTTTGCCCTATTCTCAAGAATAGTGCCCGTTCCTCTAAATCCTTTTTCTCTTTGGCTCACCTCTTTTCTCTTTGGCTCACCTCTGTCAGACTCAATTGCTTCTATGGCATCAACCAAAAAATGAAAACGTTGTCCGTAGAAAGCCCGAGTGCCTATAGGTTCATGTTCGGGTTCCATTACAGCAAACGACTAAAAAGTATATAAAACTTTTATGTACACGAACGCCCATTGTACTCAAATGAGTACGCTAATAAATTTTGTAAAATATTACAAAAATGTTGTAAAATATATATATTAATAATGCACCTAGATAGATTATACATATTCATGATCATATCTTGGTGCATGTATTGTTAGATAACAATACATACTACTATGTGAGCAAATGTCAAAATAATTACAAATAACTAGGGTTTATATCAAAAAACTCCATCTGAAATAATCTTTTCGTCATACTATATTGTTATATTATTATAACATAAGCAAAATCAGAATGGAAAAGATGCATATAACGTCCGCCGGACGTTATCATAACGGCCGGCGGCCGTTAAGTTTCTAAGGTAATCGTAACGTCTGTCACCTGCAACAATGACTATTTATTGTCAGTTGGACTTTTCAAAAATTGGGAAAATAGACCATAGCGAGATGTCGCGAGAAATTCCGTTGGAAATACAGGAGGAAGCGGCTGCGGCTACTCAAAATTATACTTCCGACTATAACCAGAGAGAGATATCAGCAGGAATATGACAATTTTTTGAAGTGGCGGCAGGATAGAAGTATAAACAGCGTAAATGAAGCGGTATTGCTGGCTTATGCTAAAAGAATGTCTGAAATGTATTCTCCTACATCACTGTGGACAAAGATATCCATGCTGAAGCTTGCGTTGAGAGTATATGAAAACATCGACATATCAAGGTAAAAAAGCCATTATATTCTTCGATATTTAATCATACTCATCTAAATTATATTTGTTCATAGATTTGGTAAACTGTTCATGTTTCTGAGGCGCAAAAACGAAGGTTATTCACCAAAAAGCCAAAGTTCTGTCGGAGAATGACATAAATAATTTTCTACTGGATGCCGATGATTACACCTGGTTACTCGAAAAAATTGTATTGGTGCTTGGTATTCTTGGAGCTTGTAGGCGCAGCGAGCTTTGGTCACTCACAGTTGATGATTTCGAAGATTCGGAGAAAAATATTCTTGTCTCATTAAGAAATACTAAAAATAGGAAAGATAGGAAATTTCTTATTCCAAAAACGGGCCTTCCGTTTGATGCCTATGGTTTATACAAAAAATACATCAACCTGCGTCCTCGTAACTTTGACAATCCAAAATTTTTCATTGGTTACAAGAAAGGCAAGTGTGTTAAGCAAATCGTCGGTATACATACCATCGGGGAGCGTACCGCAGAAAATTGCAAAATTTTTGAACTTGGAGAATCCAGAACGTTATACAGGGCATTCATTTCGTAGATCATCAGCAACCATGCTCGCCGAAAATGGTGGTGATTTACTATCGCTAAAGGAGCTAGGGAGGATGGGAGTCTTCAACAGTGGCAGAAACTTACATAGAAAAATCAGTTTCCAAAAGAATGAAAATAACAAATCAACTTTTTCATGATAGCTCCAAAAATAATGTGTCTTTAGTGGATACAAATATTTGCCATTCTTCAGTAGCATCTTCTTCTATAAAATCTGTAAATCCCTGGGAAGGATTACAGATTCCTAAGAACAACAAGTGCACTTTTAATTTCCATGTTCATTATCATGAAAAATGAATTTTAGTATAAGACATTATGTATTTTTATCCTTACTTGTGTTATTGTTCAATAAAATTTGTTATTAAATAGTAGTGTTTATTGCTCTAAAAAATCTGCAGTATGACGAAAAATCTAGAACGCAACACGGCCGATAACAAATAACGGCCTTGGCTGCTTATGATCCTCGGCTATCGCCTCGGATCACAAACTTCAGCCCGGCCGTTATTTGTTGTTTATCGGCCTTATTACGTTAATAACTATATCTTGTCACCACGTGTTGGCTTCGACTAATAATTTCTCTGACAGAACCGGAAGAGCCATTTATAACATTTTTTTAAACATACCCTAGTTATAGCCTAAATAGGTATTCTGAAGTGCAATATTTCACAACAAATCCAACAGGTGTCTTCACCAAGCAGTTAATTTTCGTGTACCCAAATGAGTATAGAAATGGGTTAAGTTCTTACTAAAACTAAACTATATTATACATAGCTAGCAGAAGCAATTTAATATGCTTTTTATGATTGATTTTCCTAATTTTCTTGGAAAGGTTCAAAATCAAAAAACCTGTACCTTTTCATGTAACAGATCCAATGCTAGCTGTAGACCAACAGCTTTCATGTCAGTTTTCTGTAATGCACTTGTGATATACATGTGCATTTCCAAAAATCTTTCCATAGCACCTCCTAGTTCAGCTTGTTCTATTTCTAGTTGAGACAATAAATTCACGAACCATTCAAAAGATCTTTGATTTCTATTAATCCAGAAGAAATCAACCTGAAAACAATCAAAGAGAATAAATTCAATATTAACAGAAATCGACAGAAAATTAAACATGCCTTCCTAAATGTTTACTAATATTTGTTTATATTTTTTTAGTTTAGTGACTTATAAACAGCTAAGCTCACTCGGGGGAAACATGAAGGCACGCTGTGTAATATTATCCAAAGGGGACTTCGTATCACTGAGAGATGGTGCAGGACTGTCGAGCTGAGCATCAACTCAGACAAAACCGTGGTAGTGCCATTCACCAGAAAGCGAAGTCTGAAAACTTGAAAAAAATCCATCAGAGGGAAAGGAAATATTGCCATCACAGGAAGTCAAACATCTGGGAATAAGCCTGGACAGTAAACTTCTCTGGAACAGACACATGAAGAATATATCAGCAAAGCCACAAAGGTTCTCATGATATGCAGAAGACTGGCGGGAAATAGATGGGGCTGAGCCCCTAACATTTTGCGCTGGATGTATACCATGATATTAAGACCCATGATTACCTATTGAGCAGTTGCTTGGTACATAAAGCTAGAGCATCGTACAGCAAGGCAAAACTTGTGCGAAGTGTCGTCGGTAGTTATGCCAATCCGACAATAATTAGAATATTCATTGACGAAAACAGTACTGGTAGAATTTTCAGGTCAGGGGCTTGGAACACCCTCTAAAAAAATTCCACTCCTCCAACTCCCAGTGGAAGACATACCAAGAATGTATGTATAACTTTGAGAAACGTCTCATTGTAGTATTGAGCAATATAAAAGATTGGAAGAGAGATATGTTTGCTCAGCATGTAAAAGACCATACCATAACGTGGTATACTGATGATTTCAAACCAAATAAGCAAGGACAGGTATAGGAGTATATTTAGGCCAAAAACTAAATACTCGCTTCAGGCAGAAATCTGCGCTATCGAAAGATGCGTAAAGTTTATCTTAGATAGGAACTATCGAAAACAGGAAATAGGCATCTTATCCGTTAGTCGAGGAGCACTAATACTGATCAACTCAGTAACCATCAATTCAAAGTTGGTTAAAGAATGCCTAGAGAAACTGAACAAATTAAGCAAAGAAAATAAAGTCCTCCTACTCTGGATACCCGCTCACCAAGCTGAATGAAGCTAGATAGAAAAAGCAAACAATCTAGCTAGAAAAAGAGCAAACACCGTTCCAACTCGACCAAAACCGTTCTGCTTTCCAACCGGAAACCAACTTAAATCGGAATCCTCTAACAGTCTAAGACATTAGAAAAAAGTTTCTCAGAACTTACGACCGAGAGGAACAATCTTCGGATTCTAACAGGACACTGTCTTCTCAACGAACATCTCAGTAGATTGAAGCTGAGAAGGAATGACGAATGCAGTTCTGTGGGGAAATAGGGAAACACCGGGACATCTTATCACTGAGTGCGCCGAGACGACAACCGTTCGTTTTCATTCAGTTTTAATCATCTGCTGATGATGTTGGGTGCATGGTTAGCCAAACGCGCGTCCAGTGCAAAAGTAAAAGTGTATTGGTGTATTGTAGTGATTTAGTGTTTTATTTTGTTGTTGTAACACCAAAGGTTCAAACTCTCAACTGTAACCGTTCGTGGTATAAACTTTGGTACGGCTGATGTCGGAGATGTGAAGCTGGCCGACTGTAGCCGTCTCAGATACTGGCTTTTTTCCGCTTTTTTCAAAGCTTTGAGATTCTATGATGAGTTATAACTCGTTATAACTGAAGAAAGGGAAACACACAGTAGACCTGTAAGGTGATTAACCCCCTCCTAAACATTCTACTTATAAACTTACTTTTCTTAAATTCATTATTGATGCTGGTATGTCGGAAGCCCACGAATATGTACATTTTGGGCAAGTATGTCGAGCTTTCCAATATTTGTGCATTATGGACTGTAAAATGGAAGCAAATGGGGTCACTCCTATACCGGTCGCAATAAGTACCGCATGTTGAGCTCTAAATATGTGACTAGATGGTGCTCCATAAGGTCCATCTAAGAAAATCTATAAAAAAATATAAAAGCTATAAAACAGCAATGTTCTTAATATTCATATTTAATGCACACCATAGAGATTCAGAGAGGAATTTCAGAGCATTTATTAAATTTAAATTTAATCAAACTGATTCCAATTTTATGAATATTATTATTATAATATACTGAAATAAATTTTTACATTCTGTTGCACATCTACGCACCTAAATATCTGTAATTATAATATAATAAAAAATACCTATAGTCAAGCGCATGCTTTAGATGACAACAGCAAGACTACTATTTTTGAGAAATTACATTATTTTTTTAACTGTTAAAATCAAAGCACATATGTATATGTAATCAATTCTATTGAACGCAGTCTTTCTCCACTTTGTATAATGCAAACTTATTTATATTAGTAATACGTGAACCGTTAATACAGTGAGTTTAATTTGTATTAGTCAAAAAAAAAGCTGTAAAAGGTTGTCCAAATTGGACACTTTTAAAGGGAAACACCCTTTTCTATAGGAGGTAGACGAAAAATAATATCGGTGTCTGGGAGCTCATTTCAACTGATATTAGTTTTTCGTCTATCTCCTATAAAAAGGGTGCTTGGTGTTTCCCTTTAAAAGTGTCCAGTTTAGCCAGCCCTGTACAATTAAAAATTTTGGATTGTTAAAATATTGTTATTATATTACTGTTAATTAGTTGCAAAGTATTTTTTCAAAATATATGTTAATATTTATATAATACAGGGTCGCTGATATGTATGAGAACAGTCGATTATTAGATAAAATATGAAAGGTACGGCAAAAAGTTAAATATAAAAGTTATAGGGTTATTAAATATCTATTAGCGGGTAATAAATTTATGTCATATATATAGGGTCGGTCATAGAGTCGTGGCACATCAAAGATTTATTTTTTTAATTAGAAACCGCTGTATATTATTGCATATTTCGGTTCTTCCTTCAATTCTGAGCAAAAATCGAGATACACACAATGTACGTCAAACCAACCCAAGCAGCATTTGGACGTCGGGACAACGTTCATTGTGTCTCGCGACCAAACGTCGGGGCGCAACGTCGGCACAACCTCGTACCAACCCTAGTCTGCACTAGTTTGGAGAATAATTTTTGGGTCGAAACGACGTTGGATACCGACGTTGGCTAGAAGCCTAATTTAGTACAAACTGCAACGTTGTTTAAAATCCTAATTCACAGAAATACAAAACTAATATGGCGTCTAAGTCGCATTTTATCCTAAATTGGGATAATTATAGTAAAAATATTATTTTTATGATTTAGTTAGAGACGTATGTCAGATGGCAGTGAAGGAAAACAAAACAAAAGTATTTAAGTGTGGAGGATGTTTGAAGATCATAATTATTGAAACACTTTAACCGACTCTGTAACTCGTTACCCAAGGCAAAAAAGTTAAACGCAAACAACTTTATTGATAAATGTATTGTTTCTACAAAATTAAAGAAGTTTTAAACATTTTCTTCAATTTTTTTTTAGTAAAATGAGAATAATTTATTCGCAGTCGAAAAAATTGTTTCCGCGTGTTTTTTAGGGTCAAATATTTCAAGTTAATGTATTCAAAAAGCAGGAATTGCTATTTTAGGAAAGAAACATTTTCTTATTTAACAACATGGCGGCTTTCACTTTGTTGTTTTGGAGATTAAGATGGAGTAGTTCGAGAAGTCGCATACTGGACTAATAAAGTCGCAGTTCGGCCTTAACAGGTAGTATACTAGTCGCAAGATTGCCTAATTTAGTCATCCTAGAGTCTAGCTTGTGCCGCCCTCTATAATATAAATAAACGAGGGAGTGGATAAACTATCGGTAATATATGTCGATGTATATTTAAATTTAGTTTTATATGTACCTTTCTTATGTCCCATTTTAATTAAGTTTTTTTTATAAAAACAAAAACAGCACTGAACTGTCTGACTGAACAGAACAATGAAGTGAAAATTTAAAATTTAAGGTTATGGTTCAATACAGTTGCAAAAAGGTAGTGACTCGACGTCCTACCAAGGTAAGAATAAGGAAATCTAAACAACGTTGGAATTAGTAAAACAGACGACGTTTGCATAACGTTGGAATAGGTCCTGAAACTGACGTCGGAAAACTCTATATTGTCCAACGTTGTAACTACGTTGTCCGAATCACCTAGAGATCACTTAAGCAAAAAAGGTTACAAGACAACGTTTATTCGACGTCGCAGAAGCTTCCTACTTTGCTGTAGTACTAGACCAACGTCGGCACAACGTTATAAAAACGTTTAAATTTATTTTAATACCCAAGGTAGGGAGCTAACTATTTTTTGTAACTAATCCAACGTTGTGATTAGTAAACATGTGATCGCAAGTCGTGAAAATGCTACTTGGGCCTATAACTTCTATATTTAACTTTTTGCGGTACCTCTTATATTTTACCTAATAATCGACTATTGACATACATATATCAACGACCCTGTATAATAAGTTAATGCAACCATCACCTCTGTCCCTTGCTTGTCCGAATATTTCACTTTAATATCCTTCATTATCAGATTTTCATCACTAACCCTTCTTCCTAAGCACCCTCCAATATTCTATACAGGTACCATTTTAAACAAAACATAATTAATATATCTTTATATCTAGTACAGTTTTATTTATTTTTGTTTATACCTACTTCTAATGGTTTGCCTACAGGATAATTTAAAGGTTTCAGTTTTGGATCGGCGGCTGTCATATCCTGAAGCTGAAAACTTTGGCCTTCTTCTACTTGTCGTTCGGGACTATAATAGTTACTTTCACCTCCTAAAGATATATTTTAATTGGGTTAACTGTAACTTATTGTCACACTATTAAAGCAAATTCAAAATACAGGATGTTTCTCAAAAGTGGCTCGTCCCTCTAACTTTTTTATTTTTTCAGACAAATAAACGGTATTTCATATGTTACTATAGGACATAAATCAGGAATGATTCATTAATTGTTTTCGATCACTTCCTGCTTCACCGCAAATGACAACTTTTGTTTTTTAAATGGCACCCTCGGTATTTTTTACTTTATTCGCTAGAACTTGACACTTTGAATAGAATGATATATCATATGTCAACTTTTGACATATGGCTGTGTTAAAAATGCTAATTTTTAATCTAGGAGCGTTGGAAAAATAGATTTGATCTTCTAATATTTTTCATGTTTTGTCTAGGCCGGTTAAAAGATGTCCAAATCGTATTTTTAATCATAACTCAATTTTTTCGAATGAAGGTAGTTGGTCTATTATCATTGGCATATTTGGAAAAAGCATTTTTTTACGAAAAATTTGGTGCCACACACTTGGTATTTCGAGTCAAATTGTCGTCACATTTACGGCCATATGGTAATATGGCCGTAAACTCTCTCACAATTTACTTTTTTAATTTTTTGTACTATTTTTTTAACTGAAAATATAAAAAGTTGCCATATATGATATGTCAACGTATTTAGAATGTACTCAGAATGGTGTCATTTAAAAATCAAAAGTTGTAGTCATTTCCGGTGCAACAGAAAGTGACCGAAAACAACTGAATACGTCAATCGATCCTAATTTATGTCATATACTATACTAACATACCAAATCTCGTTTTTTTTGTATCAGAAGCTATAAAAAATTTATAGGAGTGAGCTACTTTTGAGAAACACCCGGTATGTTATTTATTATTTCAATTATGTATATTACCTACCTATAGTTGATATAAATGATGTGTTCTCCTTTTTCTCACAATTCTCTAAACTAGGTGTTTTGAAGGCTATAATAGTTGGCTTATTTCTCATATATCTGAAACTTTGAGCCAGACTTTTGTTTTGTGGGCTCAAATAAGCAAGTCCTAATGATTTCATTCGAGCTTTCCTCATTTGGCATTGATCAAAGCTTTTTTCTGACTCAGATCTCATATATTCTCGTAGTCTATAAACAAAAATATAAAATATTACATTGAGTATAGTTACTCTGATATAATCCAGATAAATATTCCAGGAGGCAGTAAATTTTGTTTGTACCTATTTTCCCAGTGGGTGAATATATAAAAGTTTGTTCGGATGGTAACATTAAATGACAATTTGTGAGTCTGGCCAAAATTTCCGAATGCCTTTACTAGATAAAAATTTAAAAAAGTCCATTTATTTTCCCAGTCAAATATTTGACACTAAACTGAACCATTTTATTAACGGAAATAACAATTTAGCACATCACAAGTAGAGGAAAGTTTTTTATAGGAAAATAATTTCAGTTAAAATAATTAAAACTGTAAAAATTTAAAAAATATATTTTTTGAATGTGCACATATATTATAAATTGTTCTTGCTGGTAATGTATTGTATAAAGAATATTAAACAATAAAGAAGTAAAAATCTTAAACCAGAAACCCTATAGAGCTTTTTTGTCACGCTGTGTCATCCTGTAAGTATACTAAACGGCGTTTCCAGAATAAAGATCAGTTTAACTTACGCTAATAGCCTTTCCCTTTTTTTGATATTATTTTGGACATCCGGTAGTGACAAGGATTTTTCTAATGGTGCTCTTTTCGTGAACAGTAATTTTTGGAGTCTTCTTTCTGGTGTTATACGTCTACTTTTATTAGAGACATCTAAAGGGGGGAATATAAGAAGAAATTAATATCAGAAAAGATTAATTATTATTCTGTCGTATGTCCCCGGATTGTCTTCAAAAAAGGATTTTTTTTATTATTGGCATTTTGAGAAAGATACATATTTCATTAAAAAATGTTCTTATTCTAAAATGGTTAATATCCTGTTTATATTTTTCCAAATTTCCATACCGTTTTAGAGAAAATGAAAAAAATACATGAAATTATGGTTGAATTCTAAGTCCTAAAGTCTTCTAAGACCTAAAAACCAAAACGCGTTTCTAAGGTAATGTAATTTCATTTTCATTCTGTGAATGATTGCTATTGATAGAATTTTAATTAACGCCATATTTTTTGCTGTTTTAAAATCTTAAAAGAAGCACAAAATTTATTTAGTTCAATGTGACGGAAAGGGTGATAATAATACGTATCAAAAAATAATATGATACTTTAACTACTGCAAAAATATGACTTTAATCAAATTTAATAATAACCATCTATCAAAGAATAAAGACTAAATTCGATTACCATAGAAACGCCTTTTGATTTTTAGGGCTTAGAAAAAATTCAACAATATTTTAATTCTCTCGAAAACGGTATAGAAATTTGGAACAATATAAACGGGATTAACCAATTTAGAGCAAGCAAAAATTTTAATAAAGAACGCATTTTCCTGAAAATGTCAATAATAAAAAAATGTTCCTCTTGTAAGAACAATTCGGGGTATTTTGCTACCTGCACTGTAAGAAAATCTACAAAATAAAATAGTTATTTTTAATAGGATTAACATACTTGTCAACCAACCAACCAACAACAGGACCAACTTGTCAGCGGTATTTTATTAATAAAACAAATTTGGCTAACGGACAAAAAATAATAAACTAAACGTGTCGGGAAGTATATCCCCTACCGTCGCGCGTCGTCGGAAGCAAAAATACAAAGAATAAGGCTCCGCGCGCACTGCATCGGATCGGACCGACCAGCAAAAGCGACTACGACCATCGTACATATAGACGGCGCCGGCGTCCACTAAAATATTTCGGCCTGTAGAGGCCAGATTCCTACCTCTACCTATCTACGACAGTCGAGTCATCGCCTTCGCCGTTTCTCGCCGGCCCGATCCGATGCAGTGCGCGCGGAGCTTAAAGGCTCCGCGCGCACTGCATCGGATCGGACCGACCAGCAAAAGCGACTACGACCATCGTACATATAGACGGCGCCGGCGTCCACTAAAACATTTCGGCCTGTAGAGGCCAGATTCCTACCGCTACCTATCTACGATAGTCGAGTCACCGCCTTCGCCGTTTCTCGCCGGACTGGTACCGATTCAGTGCGCGTACAGCTTACGGAAAATATTTAAAATGTCTAAATGCAACTACTCAAGAACGCTTTAGTTTTTTAACAGATATCTACGTCTATTAAAAAACCGTTGACGTTTTGTGTTTTTTGGTTTGGCGTTAAGCATTTTTTGTCCGTTAGGCAAATTTGTTTTTATTGCACTTGGGGATTGGAACCTTTGTTGTTACAAAAGGAAAATAAAACACTAAATCACCACAATACACTAAAACACTTTTACTATTGCACTGCGGATGCGCGTTTCGCTAACCATGTAGCATCATTAGTAGACGATTAAAACACAATTTTTTTTTCACGAGTTTTAATCATGGGTTGATGATGCTAACATGGTTAGCGAAACGCGCCCCCAGTGCAAAAGTAAAAGTGTTTTGATGTAATGTGGTGATTTAGTGTTCTATTTTCGTTAATTTTCTTTTATTAGGTAAATTGCCGTTGACAAGTTGGTTTCCGTTGGAGCAACGCAGCGGTTTTTACAAAAAAATAACTATTTTATTTTGTAGACTTACTTACAGTGCAAACGGCAAAATATCCAAAGGACTTTTTGAAGAGATGATCAAAAATCTTATAATCAATCGGTCTTTTGTCATTGAAAAATAAATAATTCGTATTATGCGTGAATGACTATTTGTTTTGCTGTCACTATTGAAACCATTTGACCATAAAACAATTTTTGATGACGCTTTTGGCGATATTCCAAAGTAATATATTATATTCCGAGTTATATTCATTCAGACTTCAGACGCGAAATACCTCAAACAATTATTGAGTAAATCCAAAAAATATATTAAAAATAATATTTATCCTGTGACACTGCAAGTGAATGGTATGGTATTGTGCATTAGAAAATACTTATTTTTAACTAAGGATTGGCTTGTTGAAAATGTAACTAAATTACCTGGACTATTTCCAATTGTAAAAGTAGCATCACCCTGTGGACCATCAGCAGTATTGTCAAAATTTAAATCATTTGAAAACCCGACTAGCTGTACACCAGTCTTCTTCTTGATACTTTTTTCCCTTGATAGTGTTCTAGTAATGGTGGCTTTCATCTGAGATAAAGCTGTTTGATTGGTACTCTCCGCAGCATTATTTTGTGTATTCACGCTTGAACATGTTTGACGATTATTTGTCTGGCCATTGTGGAGTTTTTCCTGTTCTTTTTCGAAGTAATCGTATAATCTGTTAGTCCACTGTCCAACACCTCTTATATGAAGCCACATGTAATCTACAAAAAGACAATAGTTTATAAAATAAAACATAATCAAGAATAAAATGATGCTAGCAACGATTATACATAGGAGTATAAGTTGAAATTCGATCTATGGTTAATGAGACGACCTATGAGCACCAATAAATTTATTTAATATACTTATACTAGAATAATAAAAAAATCTTTATATATTTGTACTTACCCTCTTGTTCTGGAGCACTACTAATAGTGAATGGATGCCATTCATACTTGGCAATAGCAGGAATATTGGCAAAAATATAATCTCCTGGATGAAAATCAAATTGCGGAGGTCTCTTGATCACCAAATGGGTTACTTTTGACGGCAACAACAATCCCGAACTAATGTAGGTTTTACCTTTGTTCGACATAGTGTCAATTCGAGACATTCTCTCTCCAAAATACAGTATGGCAGGGATAATAAACCACATCCAAAATCTAGGACCATGTATGATGAGTAGAAGCCAGAAAGGAATGTACATCAAATGAGTCCAGTAAAAAACCTAGAAGTTGTTAAAATATACAGAGAAAGTCAAAAGAAATTTAAGTTGTAAATCTTCAGACAATTTTGGAAAAAATATATCAACTGTAGACTATATTTCTATTATCAAAGAAGATGCCATATTTTTTGGTTGAGATTCAGGATATTAAAATTATCTATTACTGACTTCATATATTTGATAATGGAATTTTTGCATTTCAAAATTTTACTATTTTACTTACCTCAAAGCAACCACCTCTTCTGACAAATGCTTGGGAACAAATAAACATAACTAACAGAATAATAAACAGCGCAACACCTGTTGGATTGGCCCATCCAGGAATTAAGCCGAATAACCCTGGTTTGCTTGTAAACAGCCATTCCGCTGTGGTGTAGTTGTTACTGTTTATTTTTGGATCGTTTACAACCACTAAACCTAAAATTGATAAAGAAATATAAGCAACTGTGGTAAGTTTAGTATTTATAAGCACTGCATATTTATTAGACAGCCGGTCGACATAGAACTCGTATAGGTACATATACCTATCGAGTATTATGTAACAATTGAGCTCCATTGAAGATCCGTTTACGAAAACTATTGAAACTGGTGCTCTGATTACCTACATGTGTTGGAGGATAAGCTCGACAGGTAACCACAAACTAGTAAAGTCGACTGGCTTTCTTATGAATATGCTGTGCATTAACAATGAAACAATATACAACATTCATAAAATTCATCAATTTAAAATATTTCACGGCAGACTCAATTCTTGAAATTTTGTTGTTACAAACTATTTTTTAATGAAATAATATAAATTATAACATACAATATACAACTATTAATTTCCAATAAAAATTGCATATTGTTTTATTAGGAGTAAAAATGATACTTTTCGCGGCGAGGCTGTATGTTTGACTGACAAGACACAAAAAGTAGGCACATTTTTACTCCGAACAGAACATGGTATTGTTCATTTTGTTCAAAGTCAAATAACCTTTTAAACAATTTCAAATGTCACAGATAATTTAATTTTTGTCAAAGTATTAATTTTTGCAATATGATTGACAATATAAAAAAGTCATTTTAACACCTAGGCATAAAAGTAAAGCACGTTTACGCCTAAGCGTGCCTAAGCATAAAAGTACGAAAATATATTATTAAACTGACATAAAGTGCCAAATTCAACGAGTGTAGTTTCTCGACATACATAATAATTACTTACAAGATATTACATTTAATTCTTTTTATATTATTTGCAACGCTTGAAATTGTTTAAAAAATTGTTCGTGACATTTGAAAAAATAGCATGTCCTATTCAGAGTAAAAATGCCGTTTTGTGCTTCGCCTGTAACGTACAGCCTCGCCACAAAAGGTATCATATTTACTTCTAATAAAACAATATTATACTATTTGTATGTGCTTTACTTTTATACCTATGCGTTAAAATTAACTTTTTATATAGTCAATCATCAACTTTTATGACGTTTCAGAAAAATTGTATATTTTTTTAAGTAGTATAGTAAAATGATACTATTTGTGGCGAGGCACAAAAAGTCAGTTTAATAATATATTTTCGTACTTTTGTGCTTAGACGTAAAAGTGCTTTACTTTTATGCCTAGGCATTACAATATATTTATATGGTTATGAATTGACTTAAAAATAACTTCATAAATTAAATAAATAATTGGTCATTGTACAGACAGATTAAAAATCTGTGTTTTATATTTGAAACTTACTAAAATTAAAGGTGTGCATCACTGAATGCCAAAAACTGAAAGCAAATATTAACCATCCAGTGAGTTTATGAAAATAAATGTGTTGGTCCAATGGTAAAAATGCTCCATATCCTCGCGTCCTTAAAAATGTAATACACCGACGTAACATTAACACTAATATAAACATACAGTCAAAATTAAGACATTGCCCTACAAAAGACAAGTTTATTATCATCGTAAAGGAACATAATAATGTATATGTACCGCAAGCTCTTGCAAATATTGTAAACCAATTGCTTTCTCTGTATTGGATTGCTCTGGACACAAATAAAGCAAAATTTACTAAGAGAAATCCAAACAAGAAGCTCAAATAAACCAAATTATTCCTGATGTATGGTATGGTGAAATAGTAAGGTCGGTATGATACTATTTTTCTGAGTAATGACGTTGATGGCTTGGTTGTTGCAGCAGGTGGTACTAACCAACGATCAATGCTGTAAAATATAATATTAATATTTTTTAATACCGGAATATAATTAACTTGACATAAGAAGTCTAAGTTAATACCTACATACCGGGTGGTCCATTAGTACGAGGTTATAAACCATGCAACATTTATATTATTATTTTTTGTATCTTTGTCGACAACGACAATATTGGACTTCCTAGCACCAATGCACCACTCTTTATGTAACGATGAGGGCGGCGGCCTTGGTCTTGGTCTTAGATGCTGAGTGATCTCTAACGTAACAAATATAGGAGTTATATAGGCAAGGATATGTCTTAGCGCCTCTCCTATTCAACATATTCATGGTAGCCCTATCTATTATTGTGGACAGCAAACTGCAGGAAATAGGAATGGGTATTAGACACAGGTACGACGGTGGCCTGTTCAATATAAAAAGACTCAGAGCAAAAACACGTATAAAATTCATTACAGAACTTCAATACGCTGAGGACTGTGCTCTAGTTGCAAAAATGTTACAGCAATTACAAGAAATCTTGAACGACGTACACATATGAGTATACCTGGGCATACGAGGCTTTGAACCTTAAGCAGAACATCGAGAAAACTAAAATTATGTGCACTCCCCCGGAAAATCATAACAATGTTATAAAAGTCGGAGAAGAACTATTGTAATATTTAGCGGAATTCAATTACCTCGGCAGTTTGATTTCGAAAAAGGAAAAATTCATTTCTCATTCATTTTCATTAATCTTCTCTGAAATTCAGGACATAATTAGCAGCGCCTCAAGAGCATTCCTGTAATTAAAATACAATGTTTTCTACAATCATGACTTGAGCACAAAAATGAATCTTGCAGCGTACCGAGCAATAATAACCTGGGTGCCGTACCGCCGCATCGGCACATAAACGCATTAAACAAGTTGCAACAGACATACCTTAGACAACTCTTAGAATCAAATGGTTCCACCATGTCTCAAACGTATCGGTCCTTGAAAAAGCGAGAGCGCTGATAAGTCATGACTACTACTAAGTCCCGCTTAAGATGAGCTTGTAGACAGTAAGAGGAAACCGGGGGACAACTCAAAAGGTACAAGGATATTTTTACAAAAACTTAAAAGGGATAAGCATGCAGAATCAGTGGGAAGAAGCAGCGCACAATAGAACGCAATGGAGAAGAATTGTAAACTCAGTAACAGCGACAACCAAAAAGTAAAGAAGCAACTAAGTAATGAGATTTTTAATTGTCCGGAGTGCGGAAGAGAGATAACATCACATATCGGAATTTTCAGTCACAGACAAGTCCATGAAAGAAAAAACCTGCGTAACCATCTTCTGATGCTTGTTGGTTCTATTTGAGATTGGTTCTACTCAAAATCTAGCAAAAAGTGCTAGAGTGCTAAGACTTGAAAGAGTCTTACGGCAATACCATGACCAAGGGAGACTTAGTTTGGTTCTGCATTTGCACATCACTATACATAAGTCCAATTTAGATAAGCTAGTTAGCTTATCTAAATAAGTAGGTACTTATTATAATATTACCTGATGGACAAATTTTCCAATAAACCACCATGTTTTTCCAATTGATTTTTTAGTGCTTCATAAGTGATGGCTCCTCTGTTGTTAGTGTCTGCGTCTTCGAACATGGCGACTGTTAAATCTTCAATTTGTTCTTCACTAAATTCCATTCCATTTTCTTCCATGCAAGCTCTCATTACATGCTGTAGTTCTTTGTGTTGAATAAGACCGTCACCTTGAGGAGAAGAATTCACTGATAAATTTGATAATATTAAAAGAAATATAATATTAAAATAATTATTAGAAATTTTAGAATAGAAGGTGCCCGGTGGCGCAGAGGTACAGGCTCTCGTCTACCAGTCTCAAGGTAGTGGGTTCGAATCTTAAACCCGGCATTTCATCAGCCGACTATTTTTATTAAAATAAAAATAGTTTGGGTACCTAGGTCGACTCAGCCTTAAATGAATACTTGGGATTTATAATCCTGAGGTAATAATAGGCGGTTGAAGTGTAGTGCTAGCCACATTACCTTCCTTGTATACCGAACGGTTCTAGCATGGCAAGCTGTACCTTGCTATTCCTAACCTAAACAACGCGTTAAACGCTATATACGGAAACTAATATTATTATTATATTAAAAATTATCAAAACGAATTTATGTAGGAACATCAGAAAAGTATACCGGGTGCGTCTCAAAAGTGGCTCACCCCCTATAACTTTTTTATTTTTTCAGATAAAAAAACGAGATTTGGTATGTTAGTATATGACATAAATTAGGATTGATTGGTGAATTCAATTGTTTTTGGTCACTTCCTGTTTCACCGGAAATTACTAAAACTTTTGATTTTTAAATGACACCCTCGGTATTTTTTTACTTTTTTCGATAGAAAATGACATTCTGAATAGAATGACGTATCATATGTCAACTTTTGACATTCTCGCTTAATAAAAAATTGTATTTTAAAATTCAATCTAGAGTGCCACGGCTATGTTAAAAACACTAATTCTTGATCAAGGAGCCTTGGAAAAATAGATTTGATTGTCTAATGTTTTTGTGTCTTTTCCTGGCCAGCTGAAAAATGCTCAAATCATATTTTTAATCATATCTCAATTTTTTCAAATGGAACGAGGGTGGCTCATTAGCATATTTAGAAAAAGCATTTTTTTACGAATAATTTGATACCACACCCTTGGCATTTCGAGTCAAATTTTCGTGCAATGGGAACTCTCCGAGGTTTGTATTCTATTTTATTTCCTACTAATATCATTAGTTAAAATATAGGAATAATATCGTATTTTGAAAATGAAAAATTGTAATTATATAAATTCGTCATGCGTCATCTCTTTTTCTTCCAGCCTTTTTGGTTTATTTTAACCAGCCTTTTTAGATTATTTCAAACATGAGCGATCATATTTTAATATACAATAATTGAAGTGACGGAATGATGAACGACGCACGGACGCAGATGCGTATGAACTCAACTTAAGATTTCTGAAACTTGTAAAACTCTTGTCAGATTAAAGGTTATTATTTGTGTCAAATTATAACAAATATCCAGTGTTTTGGAAAATTATAAATATTTGTGAGATACTTTTGCATTTTGGTTTGTGTTAATACGTGTTTTGTGTTTTTTAAAGTTAAGTGGATGAAAAATCGTGGGGAAAGTAAGTCTAGATCCAGAGAGTTGTATTAACCACTAAAAAAAGTGGATACCGTCTCGTATATGGTACTAAAAACTGGAGTAGTTGTAAAATAAATACATTACAAGATAGGTATATAATAATATCCTTTAGTACTGTAGACATAAGATCAATACTTACTGGTTAAAAAAAATAAGATTAAAGTTATTCAATCGACTTTTAAGAAATAAAATTCAGTAAGCGTTTTTAAATTATTGAAATCGTAATTAATAAAATATTTTGTTTTGCTTATTTTGTGATTTATTTATTCCTGCGCAATATTAAAACGTTTTTATTTGTAAAATATAATAATAAATGGCGGGAAGCTTATGAAAGTTTGAAAGTAAGGAACAGCTATTTTTTATAGATTTTTTGTAAAACCAAACCAAACACACTCCTTTTTCTATTATATATATAACACACCTAAAACCTAAAATATATTATTTTAAATAAAATATCTGGATTAGATCTTTTCAGTTTTATAGTGCCACTAAAATTTAAAAAAAAATATATTTATTTCCTGCCTTGCATTCCAATTGTACCCAACTTATTTCTTTGTAAAATAAATAAATTAATTTAAAATTAAAATAACGAATGGACGGGTTTTGTCGTTGGGCGGATTTTACATGCTGTATTAATGGATTACTTACCATCAATATCATAGACTTTAAATAAAAACCGTATTTTGTCTTCAGGAGTCTGTCCAGCAAACTGGTGCATCGCATCTAGAAATTCTTGCAGCGATATCGATCCAGAATTGTCCTTATCGAATATTTGGAACACCCTTTCAGTAAAAAAGGGCTTGAAAAATGAGATAATAATAACAATAGCTTAAAAATGTAGGAAGATCTGCATTAATTATTAATAATTGTTATTGTTTATGATGGTATAAAATAGAAAAAATGACTTACGTTTTTCGATATAACAATTTTTTGGAAATCCTCCCTGCAGATTTCTTTGCCATTGCATACCGTCTGTCGAAAAAGTTGTTCTAATCGGTTTAAATTGTTCTGGTCTATACCTGTTCGTGGTCTAAAATTATAATAAAGAAGATAACTTTGTGAAAGTCAAAATTTTACTAATTCTAGAACTCATAAATTAAAAAAAATAAACATTTTATTTAATAACATTTCACTAATTGATTACTATACAGTGTGGTCCTAACCAAAGGTCCTAACTGTATTCCGGAGACTTCGATAGTATGCTACTATCTGCAGAATATGCTGCCGAAGTTTTCGGAATACAATTCGAACCACCCTGTATAATAAAGAATTGGGTTTTAATTTTATTCATACCTTGTATTGGTTACTGTTGCTAAAAACTCCATAATTTTTTCTGACGTTGCCGTTCCAGTATTATCTTCGTCGATCAATCTGAATAATTTATCACTTATCTAAAAGAAAGTCTATATTTACGATACTGTTCTTCTAAAAACGTTTAGTCTTACCCCTTTTGCATTAAAGATTTGATAGAAATGATGAGGTTTTATAACATCATCTCCACATAAACAGAAAGCAACGCTTTCTAGTTGTTCTACAAAGTCTATTTGTTTCTCGTTCCTGTAAAAATAAAATAAGTTAGTTATCCTATAATTATGGGTACCTATATCATTTGTAATTTAAAGTAGATTTTTTTCTTTGGTATTCTGTATATATTATACAGGGTGTTTGGATGTGAACGTGGGCTATCGCTAAAAGCTAAAGTCGCACTGCTAAAAGCACTTGGAAGACAATTTATTTATTATACAGGCTGAGTTTTCTACGATGTTTTCTATGGGTATCTCGAAACTACTGGAGATAGAGAGTCGGTTAAAGGGGGAAAGAACTACAGTTTTGTGGGGTCACCAAACTGCAATTCTTTCCCCATTTAACCGACTCTCTATCTCCAGTAGCTTCCGATATACACATAGAGAAAATCGTAGGAAACTCACCCTGTATATAGCTATGGAACAAAGCAGAATTGGGCCTATATTGATATGAAAAATAAATCTTATTTTTACGTGAGGAATCTCCCCACGAGAGACGGCACATGTCTTTTGAAACACCCTGTATGATTTCATCTAACTTTTGTTAGTAAAGTAAAAATTTATATGCTCTATATTTTATCTAACTGTTAAAATTATATTGAATGACATCTTTGTAAATAATACATTTTTCAAATATAAAAAGAATAATTAAAATATTAATTTTAGTATACCGGGTGCGTCAAAAGTGGCTTACCTCTATAACTTTAATTCTTTCAGATAAAAAAACGATATTAATATGTTAGAATATGCCATAAATTAGGATTGATTGACGTATTCAATTGTTTTCGGTCACTTCTTGTTTCACCGGAATTGACTACAACTTTTAATTTTTAACGGCATTCTCGGTATTGTTTACTTTATTCGATAGAAAATGACACTCTGAATCGAATGACATATAATATGTCAACTTTTGACATATTCGCTCAAAAACAAATTGTATTTTAAATTTTAATCTAGAGTGCCATGGCTATCTTATTAACACTAATTTTTATAAACTTGGAAAAATAGAATTGATCGTCTAATGTTTTTAGTATCTTGTTCTGGCCGGTTAAAAGATGCCCAAATCGTATTTTTAATCATATCTCAATTTTTCAAATGGAAATGGAAATTGTGACTCATTAGCATATTCGGAAAAAGCATTTTTTATGAATAATTAGATACCAAACACTTGGTATTTCGAGTCAAATTGCCGTTATGTTACAATTTCAAATAAACCATATGCGAAAATATCAAAAGTTGACATATGATATGTCATTATATTTAGAGTGTCATTTTCTATCGAAGAAAGTAAAAAAATACCGAGGGTGTCATTTAAAAGCCAAAAGTTTTAAGCCGGAGTCTCATGCATCCGAAATCCGATGGTACGACATCCGAAATTTGAAGTTATCGTGTGAAATAAAAAAAGCCTGTCACATACATCCGAAAGTTCGTTCCGAAATTTGACAGTTTTAACATTTTTCTGCTGCGCTGAATAGAGATTCATGTCATGTTTTATTGGAGAAACACTTATAAAAATAACTTCCTCGCCAAATATCCCGAAATTGCCCACTTCCCACTAAACTTGTTTTTAAAAACAAATGTTTTCAAAAAAAGTGAGGTTAAAAAACACACGATATCCTACAAAAGTTAAACAAAATTTAACTTTATACGACGTCGGATGATTAGTTAAAATTATCGGATAAAAATTGTTGTCAAAATATTTCGACCAATAGGAGCACCGTCGGATCGTCGTGTCATCGGATTTCGGATGCATGAGACTCCGGCTTTAGTTATTTCCGGTAAAACCGGAAGTGACTGAAAATAATTGAATATGCCCAATCAATTCTAATTTATATCATATACTAATATACCAAATCTCGTTGTTTTATCTGAAAAAAATTAAAAAGTTATAGGGGTTAGCCACTTCTGAGACGTACCCGGTATTATATATTTTTCTTTAAACTTTAACCAATAATAATAAAATTAAGCTTGAATTTCTGTACCATTCAAAGAAACCTACATACTCGCCTAGATAGTTGATATATTTAACGTTATAAGGAGACATGTTACAGACAGCTAAATAAAAAGATTTATTCTAAATATGGATTTCATCAAGCATTCCAAAAATGACTATCTATAAATTTATCTACACTTTAACAAGCAACTTACACCATACGCTGCTTCAGGAATTCTATCCAATGTTCCTGGGTGAGATTCTGAGTCCTGTCCTGGTCGAATAACTTGAATAGCAGCTCGGATAAATCCTGCAAGAAGGAATTAAGAATATTTTAATAGCAGAGTTTAAATCAGGCATGAGAACATACTGAGGGCGAGTGTAAACAGATCGTGGTATTTTTTGTCCCTTGTCACCGTGTGATAATTCTATATTTTACCATATACAAGGGTCAGGTAAAAATTTATTATTAACCTGGGTATATCGATAAGTTCTGTAGTTATTAAGATTTAATCTTATACCTTTTCTGCTAAAACTTAAATCCAGCCAAAGGTTTAAATTTGGATTAGAATAGACTTTTTTCTTTGATATACTCAGATGCAAAAAAAAACGCAACTGAATTTTTTTTCGTCAAATTTATTTGGTTATTTTTTTTATTTTTAGCCCGGTTTGAGTATACAGGGTTAATCAAAGGGTTGTTTTTTTACCTTAAATTTAAAACACATTGTGCAATAACTTCGTTAGACTTCGTAACTATTGTCGTAATGTCATATCGATACTGATTAGAACTCTATATTAATAAATAATAAGTATACTAAAATATTATTAATACGTTAAAGCGTAGTGATAGAGGCTTTGTTTTAATAAATATTAGTAGCACTAACGGAACTAAAGATATTAAAAAAATTACTGTAATATATCTAAGTGTAAAAAAAACCTGGATCAGGGAAAAGCAGATAAAAATAAAATAAGAAGATTTTTAAGAATATTTTTTTATGTGAAACGTGTTTTTCCACATCAGATTTTAGTCAAATAATCCAAGAAGTTCATTTTAAGGTAACATAAGTTTCATTTTCTAAGAAAAATCGTGTGTCAGGAAAGTTCACCGAAGCCCAATAGGCGTCACAGATCGCAGTGCTTCCATCAGAGGACGGCCCCTTATTATTGAAAAAAAGTGTAGGAAAAAAATTAAAAAAACTCTAATACTTTGTACCCTCCGGCTGCTATAACTATCTGTAGATGTCGGTTTATACTGTTAAGCTATTTTTCTTCAAGAACCAAGCGAATATTCATAATTTCGGCCATCTTCAACAAGACCAATGATTTTTGCACAATCTTCGACACTAAGAACCATATTCAATGGTACACAAAAATAATCACCAAGGCCACCTCATTATGAAGAATAACATCAATAAGTAACAATAATTGAAAAAATTGCAAAATGTTTGTGGCAAGTTCATTTTGCTCTTAAAAATGAACCAAGACATGTGTTGCCATGAGTCAAAAGCAAAATATTCAGAGAAATGGTTATGACCGAAAAATAGTGTTTCTCACAAAATTATTGCCTAGGGTGTTTTAAACATAGGGTAAAAAACAACTCTTCGATTAACCCTGTATCAGGGAAAAGCAGATAAAAATAAAATAAGAAGATTTTTAAGAATATTTTTTTATGTGAAACGTGTTTTTCCACATCAGATTTTAGTCAAATAATCCAAGAAGTTCATTTTAAGGTAACATAAGTTTCATTTTCTAAGAAAAATCGTGTGTCAGGAAAGTTCACCGAAGCCCAATAGGCGTCACAGATCGCAGTGCTTCCATCAGAGGACGGCCCCTTATTATTGAAAAAAAGTGTAGGAAAAAAATTAAAAAAAACTCTAATACTTTGTACCCTCCGGCTGCTATAACTATCTGTAGATGTCGGTTTATACTGTTAAGCTATTTTTCTTCAAGAACCAAGCGAATATTCATAATTTCGGCCATCTTCAACAAGACCAATGATTTTTGCACAATCTTCGACACTAAGAACCATATTCAATGGTACACAAAAATAATCACCAAGGCCACCTCATTATGAAGAATAACATCAATAAGTAACAATAATTGAAAAAATTGCAAAATGTTTGTGGCAAGTTCATTTTGCTCTTAAAAATGAACCAAGACATGTGTTGCCATGAGTCAAAAGCAAAATATTCAGAGAAATGGTTATGACCGAAAAATAGTGTTTCTCACAAAATTATTGCCTAGGGTGTTTTAAACATCGGGTAAAAACAACTCTTCGATTAACCCTGTATCAGGGAAAAGCAGATAAAAATAAAATAAGAAGATTTTTTAAGAATATTTTTTTATGTGAAACGTGTTTTTCCACATCAGATTTTAGTCAAATAATCCAAGAAGTTCATTTTAAGGTAACATAAGTTTCATTTCTAAGAAAAATCGTGTGTCAGGAAAGTTCACCGAAGCCCAATAGGCGTCACAGATCGCAGTGCTTCCATCAGAGGACGGCCCCTTATTATTGAAAAAGTGTAGGAAAAAATTAAAAAAACTCTAATACTTTGTACCCTCCGGCTGCTATAACTATCTGTAGATGTCGGTTTATACTGTTAAGCTATTTTTCTTCAAGAACCAAGCGAATATTCATAATTTCGGCCATCTTCAACAAGACCAATGATTTTTGCACAATCTTCGACACTAAGAACCATATTCAATGGTACACAAAAATAATCACCAAGGCCACCTCATTATGAAGAATAACATCAATAAGTAACAATAATTGAAAAAAATTGCAAAATGTTTGTGGCAAGTTCATTTTGCTCTTAAAAATGAACCAAGACATGTGTTGCCATGAGTCAAAAGCAAAATATTCAGAGAAATGGTTATGACCGAAAAATAGTGTTTCTCACAAAATTATTGCCTAGGGTGTTTTAAACATAGGGTAAAAAACAACTCTTCGATTAACCCTGTATATACAATAAGTCAAATAATAAAGTTTATAATGAACTGAGTTTACGAATTAAAGTTGATATATTAATATATACTTTGCTAAAAAATCAAGGAAATAGGACTAAAAATAAAAATATATAAAATTTTAAACTTGACCAAATTTTTTTCCGTTGCGTTTTTTTGCATCTGAGTCTAGTTTGTTAATGTTTCTGGATCCTTGTAAGAATCCCAAATTTTAATATGTATGAACATTATATATATGCAGGATTAAAAAGTAAATTTAAACTTGTAAAAAATATTGGAGAACTTTGTAATATAAAACAGTGCAATGACTTTTAAGAAGACATGTTATGATGGTTAAAAGAGTTAGTACAATAATATTAGCTTACCTCAAGGTAAAATAATTATCGTCTGTCTATGTTTAATTTCCGTTCAACATTTTTTAATTCGATATCTTAAAAAAGAACCGTCTGGTAAACAAAAAATCACGCTATAATAACTCGGGATCACGAGGATATTATATAAATACACATACGTATCATTACCAATGAAGACATTAAAATCCCATTTGTATGCCGTAAAATCCATTTCCACCATAATTAAAATGCTTATCTTTGAGGAACTATGTTGGGAAGAATGTAGTTCTTGCACGAAGCATTCGAATTTATATTTCTTTAATTAATATATGAAAGATAGCAGTGGTGCTAAAACGAAGGAGTAATGGGAAAGATTTGGTGATATGGTTTCGTTATAGGAGTTTTTGCAGAGTATAAGTTCTGTGTAATAAATTGAAGAATGTAATAAAGAAGATAACAGTGGCAATCATGGACGTGACCTAGGTGAAAGTATTTCCTACGTTTATCTTTCGAAGAGTTTAAAATTAAATCGATTTGAAACAGTTATATTAGTTTATTTTATTACGTTCCTCTTAAGCTACCGCCATACCGAAAGCTACATCTAGGAACATTATGTTTATGTTGCTTGTTCCTGGAACTTGTTTATGAATGTTGCCAAAAGTTTATTTAAGTTCCTCATTGTTTACGGTTGCAGCAATAAAAGTTTCTATAAGTTGCTTGCTTCCATATTTAGCGGCAAAGATCAAAGGAAATATAGAAACATTGATAAACATTTTATTTTCCTCGATGGTATTTTTATAGTGTGGCCAGATTGTTGCTTGTTTCCAGAACCCGAAACTTGTGTCGTGAAGCCGTCGCATCGTTGTCCAAATCTTCAGTTGTATGATAATAAAAACAAACATGCCTTTTAAACGGACAACAGAAAATATGATCCTGAAGAACTGATATAATAGCATCACAGACTTCGGGTACAATTAAGGAAATTGCTTGTTTGGAAATTAGAAATAAGTACATCAGAGAAGTAGGTATATGAATCTCCTGTTGCGAGAAACCGAAGTTACGAAACATTTACAAGAATGAATTACCTTGGTGTGGAAAAAATGTTTACGGAACTTTTGCTGTTGTTTCAGTTTTCATAAACAGGTTGAGACAATCTGCAACAAAATGTTGCTCTGTGTTTCTTTGGTGTGGACGTAGCTTTATATTACGGTAAATAAATTAAGCGGTTTGATTGATATTTTGGGATTTAAATTAATCAGCACTAACAACAGTTGTCTAATTATTTACCAATATAAGTACTTTTTTTAGAAGATTTAAGCAGTTTATCAGGTCACAACAAGACATTAATCTCTTAAGCCTATCCCTTATCTTTAAGGAAAACAATTTTGTTAGATGATGTACCCAAGAAATTCTTCTTCCTGGACCTCTTCTGCCGAAGAGATGTATTCATTTTAGAAAAGATCAGGGCATACATGATTATATTTCTCAAATGCATTGTTTCATTTCTCTAACCCTATCCCTAAAACTATCCTCATGCGGATTTAGAAGAAGAATAAAATTGTGTGTTCTCCTTTCTTGAATTATAACGGGTTATAACTCATCATACAGTTTTAGGGCTTTGACAAAAGCCAGTATCCCCAGGGGCCAGATCTCCATCTTCGACATCAGCCGTAACCAAAATTACCTAGGCATTCTTTGACCAACTTGGAATTGATGGTTACTGCGTTATTGAACGCTTTTATTACAACAAACAAATTTAGAAGTAAATTTGAGATAGGGTTTTTAAAATATGATGCAAGTTACATTTAACGTTCTAGTTTCAGAGTGTACAGGGTGTCACATTTTCGTGTGTTTCTCGTTTATGGGATGAGCTACAAAGATGCTATTTTCACTTTGCTACTTTTTATGGAACTAAAGATGCTACACATAGATTTGTCCTAGCCCTCTTAGTTCCTGAAATACAGGGCGAATTTGAAATTGTTTTGATGCGCATAGCATGACACGCCGTGTTGCC